CGTTACTTTACTTTGCGCCTCATTTTTTTGTCTGCAGAGTGGGAATAACACAATAATGCTAGACTTACAGGGTGATTACAAGGATTCAACCAGCAAAAGCATAAGAATTAATGGCATAGTGCCTGGCATAAATCACTCAGAACATTTCACTTCTATTAAATTACTTTGCATTATCTGTATATGGCTTCTTCTGGCTACATCCCAGACCCCAAACAGGGGAGGACTATCAATCTCATCCTTGCAGGGTGAGGCTCAGGGACTGGAATGAGTGGTATCAGGCAGAGAAAGATGATGTGAAGGTTGTTTTAAAGTTGGCTGAGGCTTATGGCCTGAGTTTGATCCCTGGCGGAGTCACTGACCCACATATGGCGCAGCAGACCCCTCCTGTCTCACCCACTGCTCGCCTCAGCAGTGTATTTCAGTCGATCTGCCAGTTCTGCTCCCCATTCTGTCTCTGGTGAATCCTATCACCCCCCCAGCACCTCTGGCCTACACCCCAGTTCTTCTATGCATAAATAAATATTAAAAATAAAAATAAATAAAGTTAGCTGAGGCTTTCAGCCACTTTCCTCCATGTAAAGTTGAAAGCTGGGACCTGAAACCGTCATCAACATAAATCAATGCAGAAGTTTGTGTATTTGGCTTACTATATCTGTTTAAAAGAAAGAAGAGTACCTGCCCAAATTATGTAGCCTTAGGCAAGTTTTTCCACTTTTCTGTACCCCAGTTTCCTCCACTACAGAAATCAAAGTAGTACTACCTCATAGAGCTGCTGTCAGATTAAAGTGAGCATGACATGCCAATCTCTCAGAACAGTGAGTGGCATACAGTAAGCATACAGTGAAGGCTTCATTTAATTATTAAAAATTTGGCTTGCATAAATAATCTGGCTTTGCATAGAATATCTCCAGAAGAGGCACAGTCTCCCAGGGAGATTGATTCTCCAGATGGGAGTGGGCTTGAGGTTTCGAGGGAGAAGCAGTACTACTTGGTATTTATCCTTTTGCATTGCTAGGATTTACACTTCTTGTAAATGCTTTTCCCCCACAAAAAGATGAAAACATTTTTCATTTTTTAATGGAAAAAAAACCCTGTCTACATATTTACCACATTTTTTTTAAGCGGCCCTTCCTGTGTCACATTGCAGGGAAGACTAGAAAAATTTCCTTCTGTTCTTAAATTTATGCTGTAGCAGAGACTAGAAAACTATCACCCCTGGCTCCAATCTGACCTCCAATCTTAGAATGGCTTTTCCATTTTAATTTAGATAGAGTTATAGATAGATGGATAAATAATTTGCAATAGATACTATCTGTGCTTTTATAGAAAAAGCTGCTTTAGGGCACATATCTAAAAACTCTCATAATATCCACTCATGTGGGTTGGTCAGAGCTGTGGGGCAGTGGATGCTCATTCCCTGGCACAGGCTTGGCATGCAGTAGGTGCTCAATTATAATTCTAGGATGTTCATAGCAAAAATAATTCTCCCTGTGGCTATTCCTTGAGTGTGGCAGTTGGGAGGTATATTGCCTCCCCCTAGTCTACAGTTTATTTTAATAGTAAAAAATCTTCTCTTGTTTGAATAAACACCCCTTGCCTGAGCAGAGTGGATCTTGTTGCTGCTGTTAATGCTTGGTTTCTTCCTTTTGGGCAAGAAGCTAACATTTTACAGGTGACTGTAGAAATACAAGCCACTAGATGGAGCTAGGGCTCTGAGAAATGGGCTTAGAAGGCGGCAAGCAAGAGGGTGGAGTAAATCTTGTGATTTCAGCATCTCTTCTGCCCTGCAGAGACAGCCCTGGTGCTAGCTAAGGCCCTGCCACTTACCAGCTATGTGACTCTAGCAAGCGACCTTAATTTTTGGTATTTTTACTTGTAAAATAGGCATTATAATAATGCTTACTTCGGAGGAACCCTGCATTATCTTATTTGCTAACTCTGGAATGCAATGCAAATGTTAAGTTAATATGGATGCCATTAGAGCTGTTCCTTGGATGTGATTCCAAAATGAAAGATAACTTTCCTGACCTACTTGTCTCATAAGTGAGGACTGGGGCTTAAGGGCAGCAGAGGGGAAGGCGGGAACTCAGTGCCCACCTCCTGCAGAGCAGGGTCAGGAAGATGATAATATAGGCCAGCAAGCACTAGGCCTGGTGGGTGTCCAGACCAAGCAGCTAGCTTGTGAGTGGGCCGCTTGATGCGTTTGTGGTTCTGTCCTTAAGCCCTTTCTCTCCTCCCCTCTCCTAGCTTCTCTGCTCACTTCCAGCTTTAACTCTCCTGCCCTGAGGGTACAGATATCTTTCTATCCAGAGCGGTCCTTCCTCTTGAGTTTTAGGTCCTTCTGCCCGACCGCTCTACTATGTTGACTTCCCACTTAATGCATCAGAGCAGAGGGCCTCAGTTCCCTCCAAACTTGCTTTTCTTCTCTCCTCCTAGAACACCATCCTCCACCCAGAGTGTGAGCTGGAAAGCTGGACTTGAGCCTGGACACGCCTGCCTCCTGTTCACCTGTTACTCACTGCACTGAGTTCTGTTGAGCCTGCCTTTTATTTATTTTATTTTATTTTTTGTTTAAAGTTTTATTTATTTATGCATACAAGAACTGGGGTACAGGCCGGAGGTGTGGCGGGGGGGGGTGAGAGAATTCACCAGAGACAGAGTGGGGAACAGAACAGGCAGATCTACTGAAATACACTGCTGAGGGGAGCAGTGGGCGAGACAGGAGAGGTCTGCTGCACCATGTGGGTCAGCTCCCTGGCCTGGGAACGACCTCTAACCCCTTGTGCCACCAGGGAGGCCTGAGTCTGCCTTTTTATTTTGTTATTTTTGCACTGTCAAGAAAGAGTAACTGAAGTTTGATTTTCAAAGGAAGACAAGACCTACCCAAGAAGAACTGGAATTATCTCTGCTTAGATCAAACTTCTCATTGGCAGGTAGCCTTTGAAGCATCCTTTTAGTGTCTCCCCATCTCCACTGCCTCTGTCTCCCGGCAGTCACTGCCCAGCCTTATCTTGCTCCTGCTCCCCACCTTGCACTCCCACAGTAGCCTTTTTTTCTGAATTAAAATTATCCCCTGCTCAGAAGTTTTCTGAGACTCCCTGTGGCCAGTAAGTTGGTCTAAACCTCATAACGTGGCTGAGAAGGAGTTTAAAAATCTGGCTCCTACCACCCTCCCCAGCCGCCCTCCTCCCTGTGCCTGTCCTGCATTTGCCAACCCGACTGTATGATCCAGCCAGACTCATGTTATTTTAGTTCCTCAGATGGCAGCCAGTTTCTTTTTTGCCTCTAGGCCTTTGCAGCTGCAGGTCTCTCTACTCAGAACCGACTTCCCTCCCTCCCTCCTTATCCACTGACTCTTCTCCTGACTCCTTATCGCACAGACTCTTTACAAAGACTTCCCTCCAAAGACCTCACTGGGAGGGGACAAGTAGGAGTTGGTGTCCCCTCTCCTCCTGCCCCCTGGGATGTTCTCACACTTGCTATAATTTGGCACCATTGTATACTGATTGTCTAGTGGAATGAGATGTCCACTGTGTTGGTCTCCTGGCATTTCATATATATGGCCAGTGGGGAGCCAAACACTCCATGCTGTCTATAATCCAGAGAGTTTACATAATGGTAGTCTCTGACTTTCTGCTCGTACTAAACTTTTTGTGTATTCAGTCCTGAGTCCCTAAAATCCTTTCTTTGCCTTCAGGCAGACCCTGGTTTTGATCATGGACTCTTTTTCCTGTTTTCTCAAAATGTCACTTACAGAGGACATGTGGGTTTGTGGCAGAAATTACTGAGGGTACAGGGTGCTCAAGTAGAGGGATTGGTTTGCCTGGGAATTTTTAGAGATCTTCCAGCCAGCCCCATCCTGGGAATTTTTCCTGCTTGGTTTTCTCCCAGATTCCCTTCTCATTCTCATATTACTCAGCCTCTTTGCCTGCTTCCTCATTTCTATTTTTGGACTCCCTCCATCCTTCTCTGTCTCCTCCTTCCACTGAAATTGCTGTTTAATACAGAGACATTTAGGGTCTTCATTTTGCAGACTCCTATAGACTGTATTTCACCTTTACACCCCAACACAATAGCTTGTCAAGGTGTCATGCAAAACGAAGAGTATCAGTGTGGAGAGGGAGGCAGTGAAATCCCTCTGGCCTCCCCATCACATTTTATTCATTGTCTACTTCCGTGTTCATCTAAACTCCCCACGAGCAGGGACTTTTCAACTTTGGTGGATGGCTGTACCATCAGGACCTTGAACTTGGGGATGCATATTGGGCTGTCAGTAAATATTCACTGAATGAGTGAAGTAATGACTGAATAGGTGAATGAATGAGAGGTTGCTTAGTCTGAACTGGACCCAATTCAACTCTCTTCTGGATTATCATGAAGAGAAGCTGAAGCCTACTATATATGAGTGTTATGATAATTTGGGGATAAAAGGAAGCCAAGTCTAGTTATTTAGTTGTTAATCAACCCAGCCATAGGAGAGAGAGTTAAATGACTGCAGGTCCCATAACTTAGGTGAGAAGAGTGGTTAAATGGCAATGCACCCACACACATTTGAGATGACAAGAGATTAAGTTTCCTTCTATAACCAAGACTGCCAAGATAGGAAGATTGGTAAAAGGCTGAGATTTTGCCACACACCATTTGCTTTATTGAGGAATGATCCATCCATCCACCCAATCATCTGCTTATCCATCCATCCATTCCACCCACACCCCCATCCATCCATCCATCCACATCCATCCATCCATCCCATCCATCCATCCATGCATCCATCCATGCATGCCAGTATATCTAAAGTTGAGAATTACAATCTAGCTCCAATGGTGTGAAATGGGGATAATATCAGTTCTTACTTAACCAAGTTATTGTGAGATTAAATTATATTCTAAGGCAATGATAGCTCCCAACACTGGGCCTATTGTGCAACAAAAATCAGTACAGATTGTTGTCCTAATCTGAATACCACACCCAAATTCTATAGCAGCAACTCTTTCCTAGCCAAGCATCAAACATTTAGTTCAGTTTTATTATCCAGAATTTGAGTAAGAAAAATAGGGTGACAATCTGGGGAGGGAGTAGGTAGAGCCAGGCTGGACCAATGAGGAACAGATACTGGGAGGCTGAGGTTGAGGTGTGAGGTTGAGGGGAGTTTCCACTGCTGGAATATTGGCAGGAGGCATCCTCCAGATGATGCTGTCAGGTCACACCGAGTATTCCCCAGAGTAGGCGGGAGGCTGGAACACAGCGTAGACTCATCCTCCGCCACTAGGAAAGCTGGTTGCCCCTGGCCCAGACTATATGGGGACTCTGTGAGGCTGGATGGGGATGCTGATCCTGCTCTGCAGCCAGCTGATGTAGTCCTCCTGAGACATATGGATGATGTGTTCTCGTACAAACTGCGGGACGGACACAGTACAGCCTTAGCTTTGGCTTGAGAGCTTGACTCTGCACCTCCCCGGAACCCCTTCCCTGAGATACTGAAGGTTTGTGATTGCAGCTGGTGGCCCCAGGATTCCGCTAATCATCAGGCTTTCATAATACCTGAAATGTCACGCTAGGGACCCCTTTCCAGCTTCTGGGTTCAGCAGAATGTTCAGCAAATGTCCAGACTCCAGTCCCCATATCCTGTGACGCTCATATAGGAAAGACTTGGTAAAACTAACTGTAGGATAACCCGTCCACATCCCACTCACTCGTCATTCATGCTGTCCACCTTCCACGCGTCAGTTATGGGGAAGGGGTGAGCTCTGAGTGGGTAAGGGGGGGGAGTATGGACAATCCCCCATTTTAAGTACCTTCTATGTGTTGGACCCACAGAAATTTGGGGGAAGCAAGAAAACCCTGCTGTCTGTATCTCATCTCTTTTCTACCTCTTAATATCTTTTCAAAAGGTTGTTTGTCCTTAAACTTTTTGGGATTTTTTGGTTCTTAGACCGCTTCGAGAATTCATGACAATGGGCTTACTTTAGGAAATAAAGCGTTAAGACACAAAATAGGGAGTTTCCTTCAGAGTCTAGATTAAGTGACCTCATGTTCAGATTATCAGAAGTTCAGTGGGAGGGGGTACATGATGCATTTTGCTAACCAGGGTCATGAACTCACCCTTACCCACTCAGAGCTCGCCCCTTCCTCATAACTAACATGTGGAAGGTGGACGGCATGAATGACGAGTGAGTGGGATGTGGACGGGTTATCCTACAGTTAGTTTTACCAAGTCTTTCCTATATGAGCATCACAGGATATGGGGACTGGAGTCTGAACATTTGCTCACAGGGTGATTCCCCCTCCCTGGCTCCAAACTTGCCCCCAAACACACATGCCCAGATCAGCCTGTGGAGGGGTCATCCTGAAAACACCAGGAAGCCTGAGAAAATTCCAGCAGTAGAATCACTTCTTTATCTTGAGGCATTGAAAGCCCTATAAAAATTTGGGGCCCTCCCTGGTGGCACAAGGGGTTAAGCACCACACTATGAAGCAATCCGCAGCCTCTGCAGCACAAGTTCAATCCCCGGCTGGCCAGGGAGCTACCCATATGGCGCAGCAGACCTCTCCTGACTCCCCCGCTGCTCCCCTCAGCAGCGTATTTCAGTCGGTCTGCCTGTTCTGTTCCCCACTCTGTCTCTAGTAAATCCTCTCATCCCCACATCTCTGGCCTGTACCCCAGCTTTTGTATGCATAAATAAATAAATCTTTAAAAAATGCACATGTGCCATCTGATGAAGATAAGGAAGGGACTCCACTAACTTAGAATGGAGACCTTCCTCCACCCCCCCATCTGCAGATACCTTTGGATGTTCTAGGAGAATAGAGCACTCGGATGGTCTGGAGTGGGGGGATGGTGGTGATGAAACATTCAGTGGAACCTCAGCATCCTTCAGATAAAGACCCAAAGCTCAACTTGACCTTGAGGGTCTGCACAGACTGACCTCTTCAATCCCCTTGGAATTATGCCTTCCTGACCCACCCATTGACTGCCAATGAGCTCCTCCAGCCGGCCAAGTTCCATCCTGCTTTGTTTGCCTTGTTCTAACCTGCCCTCAACCCTGTTCTTCATGCTGCTGTCTTCTTCTCTGTTCAGTTCTTGGTTTCAGCACCATCTTCCCCAGTTGCCCTCTGTGTTTACCTTAACAAGTGCTCCTTGCACCTTCCTGTGTACACAGATCACCTGGGATCTCCTTTAAGTGTAGAGTCTAAGTGGGTAGATCTGGTTTGGAGTCTGCGCTTCTGCATTTTCTAACAAGCACCCACATGTGGTCCATGCTGGTGGATGGGCCACGATTTTAGCAGCCACATGCAGAGTGCTTCTTGGTTTGTTTGCTAGTTGTTTGATTCCATTGTCCATTTATTTGACTCTCCAAAGCCTCTGAGTTCCCAAGGGGCTCCATTTACATACAATACAATACCCCCTGGAGTTGAGCAACAAGGTCATGTGACCATCCCTCTGCAGTGAGGTGATGTACTCTGTGTCCCCAGCACTTACACAGTGCCTGGGTGTTGAGAGGCAACTGACTGAGGGTACTTGAGGCATGGCAAGGGCACAGGAAGCCGTAGTTTACCTCAATAGCCACTGCGATTTCCGGAGAGCACAGTTCCCAGATTCTCAGGTCCTGTAGCACCTTCAGGAAAACATGGGGCCGGACCCTCAGATCCAGGTTTTCCCCAAACTTCTGCAGTTTTACCAGGATCTTTTTGGCAGGGCGGAAATTCTTCAGATCCTCTGGTAGTTTTGACAGCAGATCAAAGTACCTTTAATTCCAAGATGAGAGGGCCACTTAGGAAGCTGCAGCTGGGAGATGGGTCTGAGAACCTCAAGCCCTCCATCTCCCATTCTCTTTTTCTGTCACGTGATGTCTCTAGGGTGCCATCAGCCTTTATTTGGGGGGCTTTCCTCCCTGCTAAATATAAGGGGGCCCATAAACGAAGAAAGTCCTTTCTTTTAGAAGTAGTAAAGATTGGAGCATGATTTGCATTTCATTAAAAAACAGATGAAGGCGTGCTTTAAAGAGATACATTCATGATTTTTCTATCCTAACAATGTGGAAAGCTAGGAGAAAGGGATTCTGGGCTCCTCTATTAGAGTTAAACAGGCCAGAAAACATGCAAATGTCTGTGGAATACCTTCTAGGGTGTGCTATGGTTGCTGATGGTGATGGTGATGATGACGGTATAGATGATGATGGTGTAGATGATGATGATGATGGTGGTGGTGATGATGGGGTGATGATGGTGATGATGATGATAACCTGTATATGTTTTCCTTGTTTTTGATAATGAGTAAGCTTGTGTAACAACTTTGTGTGTTTCGGTGGGTTTTGAGAACGTTTGTTAGGACAAAATGTGAGGCTAATCTGAGAATAGTCTTCAGATGGTGGGAGCGAGGTAAGTTTTAACCTGGGGGTTGGTTGAGGTACCATCAGGGTTTAAGGCAAGGTGTGGCATCTCTTCAAAAAAATCTCCCCCAATATACACATGGAAATAGTTGAAGAAGAAATCGATAACCCACCATGCAGTTTGGGCTACTCATACTTTTTTTTTTAATAATTTGTGATTTATATAAAATATACACTTTTTGGGGGGCCACCTTATCTGGGTCTCAGGATCCTTACCAGTGGTCTGCAATTTCTTGTGCATCTCCTTTTACCACGGGGACTTGATGTCTCATTTTTGCCATATCCTTTTGAAAATTCGAGACAAGGAAAAAAGAATGGAACTTCTGGAGACCTCTCTCTTCTTGGCGCCTACGGCACAGGTTGGATGAGAATGAAGCAGATGAGTCAGACACCTCCTCCTTTAACAGCCGTGTTACCCCTTCAGTCATGACTTAAACACCCTTTCCTTCACGAGCGTCTGCTGAACGACTCTCAGTCACTCTTTAATGTATTAGCTGGCATTGGTCTCTCTCCAAGGTCCTGAAATAGTCTTGCTCAATCCAGTCACTTTTTAGTAGCCCTGGTTCTCTTTCTACTTTTCATGGTATTTACACAGCTTTCTCTTAGGTAAAAATGGAGGGCAATAGTGGTCCCTAGCTCTTGGAAGCTAGGATTACATGATATAATATTCGTAAAATGCTGAACTTAGTGTTAGACACACAGTAGGTGTTTAACTCATGTTGGTGTCACCTCTCTCATTCATCTAATCCTTTTGAAAAATGCCCTATCTCTCCAAGGAGACTTTATATTATAAATATAACCCTGTCACTCTCCTATATATGAATTTCGGTGACTTCTGATTTTATACAGAATAAAGTCCTTGACCAAGGGCTTATTCAGCCCCTGCATTTTCTAGTTTCTTCACCATCCTTTCCTTCGCTTTTCTCCCAGTACTTTATGCATTGGCTGATGATCAAAGTCTCTGCAATAAAGTTCAGGGTTAGTAAGGCTTTTTATGATCTCACCTCTGTCTGTGTCTTTGATCACCTTGCAGTCACCCTAAGCTCCAGCCATACCTGACTTCTGGAAGTTCCCAGACCATTGTGCCCCTTCTGGCCTCTAGAACTTTGCTGCTACTTTTCCCTAGAACTCCCTTCTCCTTTACCTGGTGACTGTGTTTGAATCCCACCTTTACTACTTAACCACTGGGTGACCTTTGGCAAGAGAAATATCTGAGTTCATTTTTCTCATCTATGAATGGGTCTAAAAATAGCACCTATCCCCTAGGATTATTATGAAGTGATAAATAGAAAGTTCTGTTACCCACAACTGGTACATGTTAAGTGCCCTGGAAATAGCATCAATTTTCATTTAATTAAAAATGTTACTTTCTCCAGGAAGACCATCCTGGTTGCTCTCTCCAGCTAGGCACGATATCATTTTGCTATTGTGTTAGCCTCCTCCTTACTCCCATGTTGGCCCCCATCACCTTGTGTGGTAGTTGTATGTTTATTTTCTGCTTTCCTTACTAGGCTGGATGCTCCTAGAAGGTGGGGGGGGGCAACTCATTATTGAACCCTTGGCTCAGAGTATCTGCTCCCTGCTTGCTGACAGGGTGAGAGGGTGAAGGCCCACCAGGTAATCACTCTTGCATGGATGAGGTCATTGGGGGTGATCAGTTATGTTGTCAAGGGGTAGGTGGGCAGAGAGGCAGTTCTTGGGTTGTTAGGATAGAAAAGGAAAGTTTCCAATGGTCCGATGGTGTCCTTACAATCATGTTCCAAAACTTAATTACCACATTTATGGCTGTGCATGACACAGCTCTTTTTTTTTCTTCCCATTTTCTATGTCCTTTCCCACCTTGGGACTGTGTATCTTTTTCCTGCTGCCAGGAATATCCTTCCACCTTCTCACTATGCCACCAGCTCCTCTTCACCCACCAGGCCTCTTCCTTAAAGTCACCTCCTTAGAGAGGTCTTCCCAGATTACCCAACCTAAAATAAGTTTCCACGGTCTTTCTCTCTCCCCTAGCACCCTGGTATTTTCCTGTAGAGCAATGACTATCATTTGTAACTGTGTAATTATTGATTCAGTTATTTGTTTCTACTCATATTTTACAAGACTATGAACTCCCTGAGGACAAGGAACCTGTTCTTCTTGGTCTGTGCTACAACTCAGAGCCTAGCAGCTGGTGGGCACATAGTAGGTGCCAGATGAATGCCCTTTGAATGGCTGGATATTTGCATGCCCTTACTTCATGAGGATTTCCATCTTGTCCTGCAGACAGAAGCCAGCCTCCTGGGCCACACTGTAAAACTTGGCCCTCATGGTGGCACACACTGCACTCTTGGAGTTGATGATGTCACGGTTGTTGCGGCTGTAGATGTAGATGAGAAGGGCTTGGGGGATAGTTCCCAATGAACAGACCCAAGAGGCTGGTTTCCCCAGGTCACTATGCAGTGGGGGGTTCTCTGTACCCACCTGGGTTCTCCACCCTCGCCTGGAGCCTCCCTCAGCATCCCCCTGGATTTAGCAGGGACAGGTCTCCCTAACATCATCAGGCTACCGGTTCAGACCTTAGTAAATGAGCATATGGTAAGACATCTGGTCACTTAAGCCCAGCAAATGTTATGGACATGGAGTGAAAATGGAGCTTGGAGCTAGGAGAGTGAGGTTCAAGCCCCAGTGCCACCATGTGGTATAGCCTTGTTGGGACATTTCACCTGGCCGAGGTACAGCCTGCTTCTCTGTAGGATGGGGAACCCTCTCCAACTTATAGGGTTGGTTTTGGGGCATCAGCAAGATAACAGCAAGACTACAGAATGCTTTGCCCAGTGCCAGGCCCAGAGGAGGATGTGCTGTTATTGTCTGTTGCTCGCCCACTTCCCCAAGAGGGGGGTCCCTCTTTCAGTAGTGTCTGTGATTTTAGAGCTTGTCTGCATCCAGTCATTTTCATACCCTTGGGGTGACAGAGGCCATGGTCACCTTGGCCTCTCTTGCTTGGTCTCCTTCCATTGCCCACCTGGCCTACCTTTTAGACTTCTTCTGGTTTAGCTGGGAATGGCTGTCTCCACTTGTGCTGCTGGATCTCTCACTGAAACACAATGGAACGGTTTCAAGTTAGCAGCAGGCTACTTTTCAATGGCCCCGTGACACCTGCTGACCTCCAGGATTTAGATAAGGGGAGGTGGTTTAAAGCAAGGCTGTCCTAGAACTCAATGTGCAATTCCCCCATATCCTGCTGTGCCCCTTGCTGGTCATATTTTACAGGACCTGTCTCAGGTCCTTTGCACATGCCAGTCCCTCTGCTTGGAACACTATTCCCATCTTTTCCAGGCATAGGTTGGTTGATTCATTCTTTTTTTTTTCCAGATCTCAGCTTAAATGTCAAACTCAGTTTTGGTTAGGACCCTGGAGCTCAACATTCACCCAAACCTCCATAATTCAGTATACTTTCCATTGTCTTGACGATATGGCTAACTCCGGTGTTATTTGATAAATGCACAACTTTCCCATTTAACCAGCAATTCTTAAGCATGGGCAGGATTCAAGGAGTCCATGAATGCAGGTGGAAAAAAGGTTACATCTTTTCTTAAGCAGAACCAGAAATCACAGATCTGTACATCCCATTACAATTGTGGGAGATGTTTTGAAAAATCATTTACACTTGATGTTAATCCAAAATCACAGTAGTTATTAAACCTGCTAAGTCTTATTATATATAATGCAATGACTGTATTCCAAATTTAGTCATAATATCACAATCTATATTACTATACATATCTCTATAAACCTTTGTAATTTATAGTATGCATTTAAAAGCATTTTTTTTTTCCTGGAAGGAGTCCATAGCTCCCTCAGACTCTCAAAGGGTCCATGGTCCAAATAAAGTTATGACCTCAGTCCAGATAGTGAGATTCATGAGGTCAGACTGCATTTGTCTTGTTTGCTGAATCCCCTAAAACCTAGCACACTTACTGGCACAGGGTAGGATGTGATGACTTCTCTAAGTGAATACTTGAATCATCTTCTCCTCCCCCACCACAAGTCACTCAAGTAAAGAGAGAGGTGGTGGTTCTTCCCAACTTCATCCCTTCATTACTGGAAGATTTAAACTTTAATGGATAAAATTGTTGGGGAGAAATGCCTGGCTGCTCATACCTAGTACCAGAAGCTAAGGGGCTTTCCAGCAAAGGAGGAGAAAGCAGCCTCCCTGGTGCATCAACACTATCACCTCGACGGCCGGAGTTCAGTCCCTGGCCAGGGAACTAAACCACATGGCACAGCAGACTTCTCCTGTCTCTCCCGCTGCTGCCCTCAGCAGTGTATTTCAGTAGATTTGCCTATTCTGTCTCTATTGAATCCTCTTACCCCCCAACTCTGACTTATACCCCAGCTTTTGTGTGCATAAGTAAATAAAAATAAAATAAAATAAAATAAAAAAAAAACAAAACAGAGGAGAAAGCTTCCCCACCCATCCACTTCCCTCTCTCTGGTGAGGAGCACCTCTGCTGTGGCCTGTCACTGTGGGGTGCCTCCCCACCCACATGCTGTGGACCCCACACCCTCCTACCTTGACTTGCCGGTGATCTGCATGTCTTTATGGGCAGAGTCGCTCTTGTTTTGTTTAAGCACTGATAAGATGCTGCAGAGCAAGAAGTGAATGTTAGCAAGATGCTGAACCTGCAGTGCTCCCGAGGCAGTGACTATCTATGGGAGGATGCAGGATTCTCCTTCTAGAGCAGGAGCTCAGTGTCTGCTGGGCATAGGAATCAACCCAAGAGAGGGCTCAGAATACAGATTCCTGGGCCACACACCTGAGACTTAGATACATTAAGCTGAGTGGGACCCCAGGAGCCTTTAGAAAGCGTTTCGAATCTTTCTGTCTCTCTTTCTGTCTCTCTCCATCTCTCTTTCTCCCTGTCTTTCTCTCTGTCTCTCTATCTCTGTCTCTCTTTCTCTCTCCCTCTTTCTCTCTCCCTCCTTCCTGAAGCAAGTGTGCAGAGAGCACCCGTTGCAAACCTTAGAAATCCCTAGGATTCTGTGAAATAATGCCCACTTGAAGTGCCTGTTAAGACAGTTTCCTCTGGAGATGCTGATTCGGTGGGCCAGGGATGCAGGCTAGAAATTTGTATTGTTCACAAGCATCCCCGCTGATTCTGGGAATGGAAACCACTGGTCGTGGAGTTTCAAAACATTTGGAAAAGACTGCTAGAGGATTTTAAGAAAAGCCATCTTCCCCTAAGATGTTTGTTATGCACACGTGTGCTCCCCCCACCCCTGAAGTTCATGGGGCCTCTAAAATGTTATTAGGTCATGAGGTCCGCACTGTCATGACTGGGGTCAGTGTTCTTATAAAAGAGGCCCCAGAGAGCTGCTGTCCCTCTTGCTGAGGAGACGGCAGGAGGATGCTGCCTAAGAAGACGGGAGCCTCACCAGGCCACATGATTTTGGACTGTGAGAAAGAAATGTCTATTAATTATTAATTAATTTATTAATAAGCCATCTGTTTTATGGTATTTTTGTGACAGAAGACTGCAGGGACATGGCAGGTGGCTGGAGGGCCATTTGGCTTTGTTGCCGGGGTCTGGGTGGATTGACTTCTAGGGGTTTCTAAAAACTGCAGCGTTCTCTTTCAGCTTTGAGGAGGGCAGATTTGGTGTCTAAAGTGGAAGGCAATTCAGAGTCTAGAGTGAGGAGGGTGAGGGACAGTCTGCAGCTTTTCCTCATCGTCTCTCTCAGCGCCACACGAGCCTCCAGTTGGGCTGCGGGAGTGAGATTAGGGAGATAGAGCTCCTGCGGGAATTGATGGGGATGGGAAATTTCAACAGGTTCTTGCTCTGTAACCATGGTTATTTTATCATTACTGAGAATGCAGGGCTGTGTGAAGAGTGCTGTGAGAGCCAGATTCTCAGGTGGTTTTGTGTCTAATAATCTCAGGCAAGTTGTTCATTGCTGTTCTTCTCCATCCAGGAGATGGGAAGTTGGTGATGAGTCATGGGCTAATAGCCCTGTCTCAGCCAGGTGCTGTGAGGATTCCATGGGGCACTATATGTGAAGGAAAAATCGCTACCACCACTGCCACCCACATCACCACCAGCACCACCACCAGCACCATCATCACCATCATCATTACCACTACCGCTATCACCACCACTACCACCGTCACCACCACCACCATCATCATCATCACCACCATAATCATCACCACCATCATCCTCATCACCATCATCACCACCATCACCATCATCTCATCACCATCATCACCACCATCACCATCATCATCACCATCATCACCACCACCACCATTATCATCATCATCATCATCATCACCATCATCACCATCATCACCACCATCACCATCATCACCAACATCACCATCATCATCACCACCATCACCATCACCACCACTATCACCTTTATCGCTATCACCGTCACTGCTGCTGTGGCCATTTATAGGGTGCTTATAATATGCCAGGCATATGGTAATGTTGAATGCATTATCTCACTAAAAGCTTAAAATTACTCATTGAAGTAGACATTACTTCCATAACAATAATAATATTTTACAAGGACAGTATAGTTTAACTCTCACTATAACCCTGTGAGGTTAGTTATGAGCCTCATTTTATAGAATTGGAATTAGGCTCAGAGAGGTGAAGCAACTTGCTCAACATCACACAGCAATCAAATGATGGGAATGGAGATTGATCCCATTTGTTCCAAGGCCAATGCCGGGCTGCTATACAACCTCATTTTATAGACAAGAGAGCTGAAGCTTAGAGGCACCAGTTTTTGAAATCACATGATTCTGACTCCAAAGCCAGTGTTCATGCTGTCACTTCTTACAAAGGAAGGAGCTTCCTGGAACTGATGCTTCGTTGTGATGATGTGTCTCAAATGCTGACAAATCAGGCACAACAGGCCAGGCCTTAAGGCCAGCCTTGTCTCCAAGTGCCTCCAGGCCCACCCTCTGGAGCCCCCATATGAATCGAGGCCGCAGCAGCAAATTCATCACGAACAAGCAGAGGCGGGAGTGATGCATGTGAAAGTGCCTGGTGAACTGTAATTATGGTAATAACAATAACCAATAAGTCAGAGTCGGCATCCCAGTAGGATGAAGGCGATGATGAACCTCTTCTAGTGCCTCGTTTATTCTCACAGAGCAATTTGCTTACTCGAGAAGGATATACACTTGGGAAGGGAACTCTGGCTCTAGCTGACGTGGTCTCTGAGGCTTTTAGAGGTCAGAAGCTCTGTGGACACAGCCCCCCACCAGGAGGAGGACCCCTTGTCTCAACAAAGACTTTAGAGGGTGATGTTGCTCTTAACGTAAAAACTGGACCCTTTGAGGTCCCAGACAGGCAGGCAGGCCTCTCACCATCCCATTCTGGCTGCAGTTCTGTTCCCTTGACCATGTTTGCACCTGTGCCGCCTGCAATGTCCCCCCTGCCTTGTCCCTAACTTTGGCTAGCTGGCTCTTTTTCATGCCTTGTTCAAAGCTCAGCTTAAAGTTTCTTTGTTGGAGGAAACTTCTGTGACCCCATCTCCAACCTGGACTAGGTGGTTCCACTGCCATTTACTCTCACAGGCATGAGCCTTCAGAACATTCCCTCTGTGACCAGTGTGCCCTCCACACAGGCATAATGTCCACAGGAGGAAGGTCTCACTGAGCGATTCCCAGGCAGCAGTGTATAGAGCGGTTAAGAGAACAGTTTTGGAATTAGAAAGGTCTGGATTGGAGTGTGGCCTTACATTCACCACCTGCGTGGGCTTGCCCCGCTCTGAGCTCGGGGAGGTGCATGTGTGAACAGAGTGCACCGGGCAGTGCTTGTCCCCGAGGAGATGCTCTGGGACAGGGAACTGCTGCTGTGAACTTGACGTTCGTGCTTTTATTCTGATAACCCTTATGACCTCAGCAGCCGTGACAACATACCTGGGCGGTTTTTTTTGCATCTCGTTTTCCATGGTGACTGTCTTCCGGGCATCTTCCCGAACCAGCTCCAGAAGCTTCTGCAAATCTGCCGGGAACAGGATAAGTCACTGCAGAGAGCTCATGAGACAGGATTGTGCAGGGCAGGGCCCGGCCCCCAGGCTGCTGTCACCTTTCCTGCTGAGTGTTGGGGACTAGGCTTTGGTCTCAAGGCGGCAGGTTGCCAACCTGACTGTCACTCCCCTGCATTAAGCCAATGACTCGCCATTTTCCTTTTGGGCAACATATAAATCCCCCCGTGTGGCCTAGGAAGGCTGTCAGGGCCTGACAGCTGTTTCCCTTCTGGTCCTCCCCCACTTTGAACTTAATCACAGCCAGAGAGAACAGTTTCCAGTTCCTGGAAGAAACCATCTTGTTCAGGAAATCCTTTACTCTACAGACCAGGAGTTCCTTGGTGACTCACAGGCTGACTCAACTGTGTGTAGACGCCAGTCCGTGGCTCTGGGGTGGGGGGGCTCTTCCTGCGGCCTGCTGACTGCGGCCTTTAGCGGGACTTGCCTCAGCTCCCCATATTTGTCAATGTGCATTTTCATACTTAATATTGATGCCTTTTCCAGAGAATAGAAGTATTTCTTTGTACTTGACTATTAGAAGTGGAACTGTGCCCTCTCCAAAAAGATCTTTTGAAGCCCTAGTCCCTAACTCCTCAGAATGTGGATGCGTCACACCTTCATTTGGAGACAAGGTCATAGGTTGTCAGGGGAGGTCACGGTAAGGGAGGGTGGACCCTTCACCACCTTCCACCAGTGTCCTTTATTTTTTTAATTTATTTTTCTTTTTTTATTTTATTTTGATATTCCCCATACAATTGCAACCCTGATTTTGACCCCAATCCCTACCCCCCTGCCCAAAGAGTGTCTCTGGTTCACAGTTGTTTGTTGATTTTGATTTTCACTTTCTTATAGTTATTCTTTTTCCTGGTCCATATTTAGGTTTTCCAGATTCCTGCTATGAGTGAGACCATCCGGTATTTTTCTTTTTCTTTCTGGCTTATTTCGCTGAGCATGATCCCTTCCAGCGCCATCCATGTTGCTGCAAATTGCATGTGTTTATCTTTTTTGATTGCTGAGTAATATCCCATGGTGTATATGTAGCACATCTTCTTGATCCAGTCATCTATTTTTGGGCATTTGGGCTGTTTCCAAAGCTTAGCTATTGTAAACAGTGCTGCTATAAACATAGGAGTGCAGGTGCTCTTTGGAATTGATGTTTCTGTGTCCTTTGGGTAAATACCTAGGAGTGGAATTGCTGGATCATATGGAAGCTCTATGTTTAGTAGGTCAAGAAATCTCCACACAGCTCTCCATAGTCCACCAGTGTCCTTTAAAGAAGAGGAGAGATACAGGGAGAAGGTGACCCTGTGGTAACAGAGGCAGATTGGGCTGGGGATACTGTCCCAGCCCAAATGCCAAGGGCTATGGACAGCTACCAGAAGCTCCCTGAGGCAAGGAAGGCTCCTCCCTGCAGGTTTGGGAGGAACCTGGCTGCGCCCACATCTTGCTGTTGGAGGAGTCTCCAGAACTGGGAGGCAACACCTTCCTGAATAAAGGAACCACCCAGAGTGGTGCTTTGTGACTGCAGCTCTTCCGCAGGTATAGACACTCTTGAAAGTTGGAGAAGGAAATGTGTAGAGAGTAGGCCGTGTGCTTCCAGGAAAATGCAGGTGCCCCTCCCAGCCAGCCCGGAGCTGTGGGCTCATCCTGGCCCCCCTGGCACAAGTGCTGCCAGCCCCGGGCGAGAGCCTAAACCTGAACAGGGAGGTGGGACTTGGAGCCCTGCTGCCAATGTTGCCAGTGCTGAGGGGGGGGGTCTGAGGGGAGTCTGGTCGTGCAGTGCGACGGGGCAACAAGGAAGTACAGGCCAGGAGCAGGTGGTGCGGAGCTCCTTCTGGGACCCTGCATGTTGTCCTTGCAACACAGGATGACTGATGGCATCTACACTGCATCCAGCACCTGCTGGCCCGCACCCAGCACTCGGGGAAGAGTGCGTCTGCTCCTTGACTCCGCACCTTCCAGGGCACCCCAGTCCCGCTGGGCACGGCCGCTGGGTCGCCAGTAGGGGCTGAGCTGTCTCCTGAGGGGAAGCAGATTTTAAATAAAAAGGCATGGAAGGAAATTCAGAAGAAATATGAGGAGAGGAGGAAGAATGCCGGAATAGGCCCCTGTGGGGTGGGGGGGGGCAGGTTTCCCCCGTACAGGCCTTCAAGACCGGACAGTGTGGCCCCGCGGAGGGCTCTGGGCTCAAGTGCAAGGACAGGAGATCTGTGAGGAAAATGAAGGCCTGGGAAGGCAAATAAATCCTCCTCACTCCTGACTTAGCTCCGGTCATAGAGGTGCTCGCTGTGGAAGGAGGGAGAGAGGCCCGAGGCAGGAGGGAGGAGAGAGACATCGGCAGGCGGGTGAGAGGGGAGCAGTCCTGCGTGTTTTCTGTGGACACAGATTTGTAAGTACCCGGCCCTGTGCTGGTCATGTGGGCGGCTCAGTCGCTGTTTGCTGACTGACTAAGTGAATGACTAAGGAGAAAGAGAGCGGAGAGGGTGGATCGGGGCTCTCACGGAGGACAGTGTCTGTGGAGGTGCTTTTCGCTCTGAGTCGGCGCCTGTGGTCAGCGCAGGCGCAGGTCTCAGCGGCGGCGGGGGGACGCCCAGTGCTTCCCCAGGCCGCTGGCCTGCAGCCTTGTTTCCCAGGGTCACCACTGGGTGCTGGGGAAGGGGTGCCCCCCTCGTGGAGCCATTTAGGCTGTGGTAAACAGCAGCAGGCAACCGTGTCCCTCTCCACTGCTTAAGTAGTTCATTTTCCTCGTCATTTGTGGGTTGATTCCGTTGGCCCTGAATCTGACCTTCATGTTTGTCTAGTCATGTCTCCTTGTCCTGTTGCCACGCACACATCCCAGAATCCTGGGGAGTGTCTAGAAGTCTCTTAGTGAGGGAGCTGTGGCTGGTTCCCCCACTTTCTTCCCTTTCCCTGGGAACGAAGCAGCAACATCTGAGTGTCCCTCCCACCCTTCTCCTACCCATGTGAAAACCAAGCCAGGGTTTGCGACAGACTGTGGATGCCAGCAATGACCCCAGTGACCTGGCACATTGGGCAGCCCTCCTAGAGAATCATGCCTGAAGCTCCATACATCACTTAGTCCACCACCGCCTTTCCCCTGCTTGTCAGTACCGCCCCAGGCAGGATGGTGCTCGCCAGTGTCAGCCTCCATCCCTCACGTAGCTGAGGTTGGATAGATGTGACGTGGCACAGAGCCTTGAGACCGTGAGGTCCACACCCACTCCTCTCCAGGCGGGAGAGGAGAGTCATTTGGGAAGGAGCCAGGTGTGACACAGTAGATTTTCCTCAAGGGAGACTGTCCTGGATGGGTGCCCACTCTCAGAGGAACCAGTTCAACCTCTCGGTGCCTAGGGCTGTGGAGATGCTCCAACCCACCCCACTTGCTCAGAGACATTGGTATTAAATGCCAGATCACATCCTCAAAGAAAAAATTCTGACTTCCTTCCTCCGTCTTCTGTCCCAGCCCATCAAAGGAGAGAGGGCCCCTCAAAGAATTTCACCCTTGAACAACTAAACCCATTTCTTTGGGGGAAAATGGAGGAGGTGGTTGTTTTGTTGTTTGGGGGGGACATTGAGGGGAACATTGGTTGGCATAGGACCGAACCTTTTGAGTTGCTACTTAATTCCTCCTCTAATATTTATTTATCCATGTTACATCTAACATAGATTTCTCTTCTAACATTTCCAAGACTGACTGGCAAAAGGAACGCATGGGCTCTGTTTTCTGGGGGATTCCGCTGGCATTGATTTGGGAGGACACGGGTCCACTGCCAGGCCACGACCTGCTGCCCCAGTGATTTGTATTCACAAAGACTTCATTATGCAGCCAGTCTTGGGAATTAGACCTTGGTCAAATGTTGTGTCTCTCAGAATAGGATTCATGAATTCAGAATCAATTTGAGGAGGTTTTGGAAGGCAATGAAAGGCTGGGTAATTAATCTACTTTTTTGTCGAGGCTGTGACAAATGAGGTTAAGGTATAAACAGAGGGAAAGGGTGCGGAGGCAGAAGTTGCAGGACTTTTTGTCCAGATGCGGGTCTCTGGAGGAAATGCATCTTGAGTCACTGCTGTGTACCTACTGTGTGCTAGGATGAGGGCGAATAAGACATTACTGTCGCATGTCTGCAAGGACCTCACATGCTTTCCCCCTTCCTTAATAATAGAGGTGGGTAGCTAGGCAGTGTGTGTGAATGCACACATGCATGTATTTGTTTTCCCTGTGCATGGAAGCATTTTCTTGCTTAATTTCTACAAATCCTTTTCAGTGAGGTGTAACCCTGTGTCTAAATTCTGGGCAGTGAGATTTTAGTAGAAGTATTGTATGGAACATCTGAGAAAGCTGCTGAAGCTCAGTGGGGAGTGGGCACTTTTGTACTTCACCTACTTCTTTCCACTTCCAGATTAGAATGTGGTCGTGATGACTGGCATTCCAGCAGCCATTTTAGACCATGAAATTATCTTGAACGTGATGGAGAAGAAAGACAGAAAGAAACATGCTCCTAATGATCTTTTGGAGCTACTCTACAAGCCATGGATGATCTTTAGCCTATAAGCCATGGATGGGCTTTCTCTTTTCTAAGCCAATGTTTTTCAGATCTCTGAAAAACCAGCCAATAGATGCAGTGAGATGCCATTGTAAATTAAAATTTACTCAACATCAGTAAATACATTGTATTAAGAAAACAGAGGAAATGCAGGAGTTCAGGGGAGATGTCACTGTGGAGGGAACATTTGAGCCAAGTCTTGAAGGTTGTCTAGGAGTCCATCAGACTGATGGTCAGAGATAAAAGGCCACTGCAGAGGAGGACCTAAGAAAATGTGCACTGTTTAAGAAAAGGAACAATTTTTTTGAGAGGTGGGAGTCCTATGGTAAGATATAAAGAATTGGCAAGAGTGGAGCCTATTATGGGCAGCCTGGGACAAGATCAGACTCACTATCTTAGAGGCAGTGGGAACTCACTGAATGTTGTTAAGCTGGGAGCACCAAATCAGATTTTTAATTTAGAAAGTTCTCTCTAGCTCAACACAGAAGAATCTGTGGGCATGTGAGGACAAGACAAGGGAAAGGGAGACTAATTAGGAAGCTGTTGCTGTCTTCAGGGTGAGAGGTGAGGAAAATCTGGACCAGGGGTTCCTCTCAGTTGCCTATAGGGGTCAGGTTACAAAAATGAGTGACATAGGATGGTGTAACAAAAACAAGGCTGCTGTCTTGGTTTTTCATTTCTGTTTTTTTCTAGAGACTTGGGAAAAGCATGGAGGGTTAGAGTGCCTGGTTTCAAATTCAGGCTTCTCCACTTACTGGGTATGTGACTTTGGGCAAATAATTTAACCTCTCACTGTCTCAATTTTCTCACCTGCTAAACAGACATGAAATTGTTGACTCTATCTGTCTTTCTTCCTCTAACTTCTTCCCTTTTTTCCATATAAATCCTCTTTCCTTTCCTACATCCTTTTACTATACAAGCTGAAATCAAAAAGATGTCAGAAAGAACTTTCTACAGGACTGATGGAATCCAGTCAAAGTCCTGTCGGGTGGAAGTCCATAAGGCTTCCCCTAAAGGAATATGCAAAATGTGTATAGGTGTGTTTGGATTTTTTTTTTTTTCCTGGATAGAGGGTCCATAGCTTCCAGTAGATTTTCTAAAGAAACTGTGTCCTTCCAGATTGTGAACTACTGAAAAGATATGTTCCAGAGTGAGGGTCACAGAGTGACACAACATCCATATAAAAAAAAGTTCAGAAAAAGCACATCCTTAGACACAAAAAGTGGATTTATGGCTGCATGGGTCTGGAGGTAGGGAAAAGGAAAAGCCTGTCACTGAGTACAAGAATTACTTTGGGGCTGGTGGAAATGGTCTAAAATTAGATCGTGGTGATGGCAGCATAACTCTGTAAATTTACTAGAAATCATTGAGTTGTACGTTTAAAATGAATGAACTTTATGATATGCAAATTATACCTTTAGTAGACTTCAGTGTCATCACCGAAGAGTAGACATCAAATCTCACATAGCATGAAAACATAAAATATCTCATTAATTTTTTTACATAAACTACATATTGAAATGATCATTTTTGTGTAAGCTGGAGCCAAATAAAAATATTACTGAAATAAAGTGATATGTTACCTAATAAAACATAAAGAAGAGCAGCTGAGGACCGTGGGCTGTTCTGCAAGGAGAAATGGCTCAGGGAATCCAAGTAAGAGTGTGCATTTCTGATCTCCACTGGGAGAAAGCAAAGGAGTCCAAGATAACTGAATAGGCCTAGGGGACCCCCGTCTCTCCTCCCACGGAGGGGGGACAGCGCTGGAGCAGGAGTTCTGGACAAGTCTGGCTTGCAGGTAAAGAGTCAAGGCAGGTGCTTAGACCTCAGGCAGGACTTACTGACATGGAGCGGCTCTTCATCTGGCCTGGTCGAAGAGGATTCATTGTCCTCGATGTCCTTGATGCATGTTGTCACCTGGGTGATCACGCTCTGGGGCTCATCTGAGCCAGGGTTCATAGATATCATGCTGCTCTGGGGGGATGATCCCCCACTGGTCCGGGACAGACTGAGCGTGGACCCCCTCCGGCTCAGTTTGCGGCTGGTGGCTCGTGGCATGGGGATTTTGAATTTCTTGGTCTGAGGGACAGAGAGAAGAGGGATTTCAGAAAGGAGGAGGAAAGGAACACCGTGGGACTTTTCTTGGGCCTGGAGTGACCTGTCACCCGTTGAGATGATTTCAAATCATGTGTTATTTGAATACATGGGGGCTTGTTCTGCTCACTGAGCACCTTGATTGCCCAGGGACGTCACCCTGGGACACTCCATACCTGCTCCAGGGAGGCCACTGTTGTCTCGTGTGCTCCTCAATGGGCCTGATTTTTAAACCGTGAAAGAGAATGGGTCTAATTTCCTGAGCTGCATTTTGGTTTTGACCCCCGATTGCATGGATCTGCTTCTTGTTCACCAAGTTGAACAAGAGCCTCAAAGGGTGAAGATTTGTATTCGTGGGAGTTTTCTAACGAATACAAGATGGAGAGAATCTTAGTCTGACATGTGGGAGGTAGCGCAGGGCAGGCAGATGTGTCCAGTGGGCCGGCTCTCTTGCTGGGAGCGGGCGAGCCATGTGGCAGGCAGAAAGGCGCAGCTGCAAGTCTGGAGCTGTGGAGGGTGGCAGGGAAAGTCCTGCAGGGGCAATGTGGCCTTGGGGAAGGAAAGAGTCAGAGAGGGTTGGTTTATGCATGCATGCATGTATGAATGTGCATGTATGTACACAGGCGTGGGTTAGTGCGTGTACACACCTGTGCATGCACATGGGAATGCGTATGTGCACCTGCTTGCTCGATTGATGCCACGTCAGAACATTGGGGGGGGTCATGTCCTCATTTAATTCATCTCAGAGTCTCAGAAACTTTCTAACTTGACGATCACACACCTAGGATGTGGCAGAGTCAGATTCAAGCCCAGGCTAGTCCCAAAGTTAATTATTATGCCTTGCTCAAAAATACTTTAAAAAGTCGTTCTCAGTGGCATTGAACATGCCCTTGACCCCAAGCTCGAGGATTTTCTGTGACATTTTCAATGCCAGGTTTACAGTGGGGAGAAGATATCCTAAGCTACCCCAGGGTGAGAGCTTAGTGTGGACTTGGGCTATAATTTATGCTCAGTTAATAATATAATTTCACCTGAGAACATTTAAAATGAAAGCTCTCAGAGGGCAGATTGAGTTCCTCTCCCAGTGAAACTCACGTTTGATGCCCCAGAGAGGGAGATAGGGAGCAGAGGCAGCTCGGAACGACATTGAATAAACGCCTAAGAGGATGCAGAGAATTGTATCCAGCGGGATTCACTTTCGACAGTCCGCAAGTAATTTTTTGATTGGTTTTCTCGTGGGTATGAGTATGGTGGAACTTCCCTGCACTAGAAGAGGGAAGGGATTTCTTGGTTGTGCAGGACAAGGAGGATTCGGGAAGAGGGAAGGGACATGGGGCCAGGCTGTGGGGTGTTAGATGTGATCTCTCCCTGTGACCGCCCCTCCCCGATTAAACCTAAAGTGATATTCTGTACCAAGGGGCTCTTCCGAATGTGACAGACTGGGGAGCTGGGGTTTGAACTGGGTCACCCAGCTCGCCAAAGGAGCGTGTGTCTTACAAAATGATGGATGAGGAAGAAACGCACGCCAACGTCGACGTGTTCTTCCCTTTGATGAATTAGGGCCATGATACAGTGTACAGTGTACTGTGTGCCCTTTGTCCTCATCTTGAAGCTGGTCAGGGGGTTTTCAGACTAACAAAAAGCCCCTCTAATCCTGTCATCTGGGGAAAGATGATGCCAGAGCTCAGGGATCATCCTATTTCCTCTGGCACTACCCAAATTCCTGACCCTGGAAACCAGGCTCTTTAGATCAGCAGCATTTTAGAAGGCTGGACAGATTACGTCCCTGGAACTTAGAACCAGGAGACCTGGAGGTGGGGGAACTGAACAAGTCACTTTGCCTTGCCTCAGTTTCCTTATCTGTAAGCCAGGAGAAGGGACCAGGCTGATCTTAGCAGTTTCCACATCCAGGCTTCTGTGTGCATCTTCCTTGCACTAGGATTTCATCTTGTGCTCCTAAAGTTGCCATTAATTAAAATTCAATTAACGACCTCAGCCAGGAAATCCAAAGTGAAGGGCTGACACTTCTGATTAATTGAAAGTGGCAGAAAAATAAAATGCCAGGGCGAGGGGGTGGAGATGTGACAGGCAGTTTCAGCATCTTGCTTGCTCTTTATTGACTTAAATTCCCAGTGTTTCTTCTCTAATTTTTTGTATTTCACTCAGGAGCAGTGTTAACCAGCTACTGTGTTCCACCTCAGTAGAGGCTGCTTTTTGGCAATGAAGATTTCCCTGAATGATTCCTCATACTTACTTAGAAACAGGGATTTTAAACTGGTGGTCGATGGGGAGATGTGTCTAGCTGGCCGAAATTTTACAGACTGGGGAATTTTTATAAAATAAAATTATAAACCGAGATTATTGATCTCTCTTGAAAATGATAAGCCCTGGGCTCCCATTCTCATCTGGCAACATAAGCTAGAGCTGAACGGAGGCATTTTTTGTGTGTAGCTGTGTGAGTGTATTCCTGTTCGCCACAGACCTCACTACTCCCTACTGCATCACCTGGCCTCATTTTCATGTATGCAATTTGCTTTGGTACTGACAAGCTTTACATATACACAGGAATATCAATTGCTGTGGGGGTTGATGGGAGCCTCTATTTCAAAGTCTTCATTTTATGGGTGGAGGAAGTACTTTCAGGAGAGAGAAAAGGACTTGTCCGATACCACACAGTAAACTTGATCACAGTGACCAACTCAGATCTCCTGACTCCTAAATGAGGGCTCCCCTCTCTTGTTGCAGGCCCAAATTAGACCTACAAACTTCCCTGAGAAATTCAATTTTATGAGAGTTCAAATGTAGCAATTCATTCTCTCCTCCTCCAATTTCAGTTGTGAATATTCCTGAAGGACATTTTTCAAAGGTTTGTGGCTCCTGCTGCTTTCTGTGCATCTCTGGAGGCAGATGCACATGCTATCTCCATAGCAACTTTCTGTGATAAAAACAAAGGCTCTTACTTCTCAGATCTAGGAGGACCTTGATGAAAGAGCAAGAAAATGGTGCAACCATGACGTGCAATTATTATCAAGGTGCCACGGAGAACTTGCATTGGAAGAGCTCCGTGGTGAGTAAACAGACCTAGGTGAGCTCGGCTCTGCCATTACCCATTAGATTGCTGTGTTACTTCAGGCAAGTCTCTTAACCTCTCTGAGTCCAAACTGCCTGCTCTCCCTACCTGTGGATAATAATAATAATAGTAACAACAACAACAGTGTTATTAAGGGGACTGCTTTAGCACAGAACCTGGCCCACCGCAATTATGTTAAAAAGTGATTTTGAACCTTGATGAGGCTGCAGTAATGCTGAGCATTTAAAAATTTTCAAAGTGACCTTGCACATTGTTTCCTGGAGTCCCTTACTCATGTGGTGGGGTCGGCAGGGACCAGCATTGTGCCTGTTTTGCGGACAGGGGCGCAGGGTCAGAGAACACGGTTGTCATGTGGTCTCCCTCCTGCTTTTACCAATATCACCACTTGGCATTACTATTCTAATCATCATTATTGTGTTTGCTTATTAGGTAGATGAATTTGGGGCATTTGGAGTGAGAAATAATTTGGGGTGAAAAGAATTGACCTCTTGATGTTCTCGTCATAATACACACATGTTCTGGTTTTAGAAAAACCCTGTCTGTTTAATCACTCACTTATTTTCTGACTATCTTGAAAAGAGAGAGAGAGCTGTGCCTGGTACTGATTTAAAAGATGGAGAGGGGCGTCCATTTCCTCCCGGTGACATCTTCTTAAGCTGCTTAACCCCCTTCGCCCCGACCTGTATCCAGCCGCATGTCATTTCTCCTATAACCCCCAGTAACCATTTTAATTAAACTTTACAAAAAACACCCACAGCATGGTTTTCATTTCCCTTCACTCCGAGAACCTACTAGGGAAAAAAATCCCAGCAGAGAAGAGGCCGGCCCCAGACCCCGGCCTGGGCTGTGGCTCACCTTCGGCGCCGTGATGAAGTGCTCCCACCTCTGTCCCATGGACTTGTCCTTATTGATTTTTTTAATCGTGCTCTTGCTTCCACCCGGGTCCCTGAGTGAGAAGGAGATGAATGGGTTTTCCATTCCCAGAGCCTCGGCTTATTAAGGGTTCTTTTAAGAAAGGCAATAAATAAATGGACCATGGGTGGTAGCTGGTCCCTGTTAGGAATTTCTTCCCCCTCCTGCACTGCTGAGAAAGTTGGGGGGGGGGAACACTTCCCCATAGTGGGGTCTGGTGAGTGGGGATTGAGGTTAGGAGAAACCCCCACCTACTGGGTGGGGGGTGAGGGAGGTGGGGCATAGCTGGGCAGCTGCACCTGTTTTCATTTTGGGCTCGGTCTGGTCATAGCTCCAGGACAGGTTCGCGCTTACTCCTGGGGGTGAACTGAGAAGCAGGTTCATTTCTGAACCCTGAACAGGGTCCCACCACCCAGGGGCACTTCTGATGAACACAGATAAACAGTTATTACGGGGTGGGGCTGGGGGGAGCTTGTGGGGTGGGAGACACTGTGCAAATCACTGGTTTGGAATTTACTGAGCAAAAGTTCTCAGTGAGGCTCTTGTTGCTTGTGATTCTCACTGAATCATCCAATAAAACCCTGTGGTATATTCAATATTATTATATATCATATATATATCATGATAGTATATATAATGTATGCCATATAATATTGACATATCCCATATAAACATCACACCATATCATATTGATCTATAGCAATAAATTGATATAGTGTATTAATATATAATATGATATTATATATTAAATGGTGTATAATATGTTACATATATTATAATATATATTAAATCTGATAATTATATATGACATATATTATCATCCCATTTATAATAAGAAATTTACAAATGGGAAGGGAGGGAGCTTAAGTCACTTTCCTAGGTGCTTATTTGCAATGAATCTAATGGCCCTCTCTTGCATCACTTACCCCAGCGCCCTGTGCCTAATTTTGTAATTGAGTTTTGTATTTTTTCCTTAAATTGTGTCCCTCCCACCTAATTAAGTAAACTTCCGGTTCCACCAAACCTGGTTTCTCCCCTCAGGGGCTGAGACCTTTCTGGATATGAGACCGAGGCCCCAGCAGGCTCTGTTAGTGACATGCCCATAATCCCTTCTCAAGCCCGTGGAACCAGATATGTTGGAAAATTAAAAATTTTGGCATTTTGGAAAGGAACTGTGCTGCACAGACCATATATTATTGTAATCTCTCCAGTGGGGCCTGGGGAGGCGTACTGTGATCAGACACATTAATATTTTTGTAATGATATGTTTGACAATTTGCATAAAATGCCAGTAAATAAAGACTATAAACAGCTTCAAGTCAAATTTTGCCTCCAAATCAGTTTGGTCCATGTCACATTTTGCTGCCAAATGAGTTATGGAAAAACTGAGTTTTCAGAGCCTTTTAGATTTGGGACTTGGGGCTCTGGGGTGGTGGATCTCTGTTGATAAACAAGCAAGAAGACTCAGGGTGTGCTCTCTCATTTATCTACCTGTTTACTGATTGACTCATCTCTCTTTCTCTCTCTCCATTACTCACCCACCCATCCATCCATCCATCCATCCATCCATCCATCCATCCATCCACCCATCCATCCATCCATCTACCCATCCACCCACACATCCACCCATCCATCCATCCACTCACCCACTCATCCATTCATTCAGCCATCCACCCATCTCTTTCTTTACCCCCATTTTATCTGCAGAAAAGCTTTTAGATGGCTGTGATCCTTTGAATGATTTGGCTGACTGCCACCTAGCATAGAGCAGGGACTTCAGGGGATGAGAGGGCCATACCAATTTGATATCAAGGAGGGCACCAACAAGAATTTAGACTTATCAGGGCTGCCGAGTGTTGATGGTGGGGGAGATTCTGGTCTGATATTGGAGGAAAAAAAGATGATCAAGACCACTGCAGATAGTTCCCCAGACTACTATTCCCTAAATAAACTTCCCCCATGCAATTCACACACACACACACACACACACACACACACACACACACACACACACACACAAAGAATAACCTTACGTAGGACTGTCTTATCATGTCCTGGAGCTCTGAGAAGCAGAATCACGACCTTGCTCAGAGACACAACACTCGAGATGCCAAGGTGGCTGGGAAGGGCGGGGTGAGAATGTGCCTCCAAGCTTTTTGTAAGACTTTATGTTTGATTACACAATAAAAAGCCCTCTGAATAATTAACAGTGAAGCTCATTTAACGTTGGTTCAGCCTGTCTCTCCCTGGAGTAATCAAATTAGGGAATATTTAAAATCCAGCCAGAGGAAGAAGGAGCAATACTTCAGCCCTATAAACAATATTTAAACTAGTGGTGCTTTTGAAGTCTGATTTAAGGCTCACCAACTGGAAGCTTTAGTGGTTCTGCTTTGGAGGAGTTTTTTTTCCAAGCCCACAGGGCTTTTCGCTTTTCCCTTTGCTAATGCAGCCCCTGCTGTGCCTCCAGTCTTCTTGAAGTTCAAAAGCAACCCCCCCTTCCCCTTTTAAAATTAAATCCGGTCCCAGCCAAGCTTTCAAAATCTTCCATATTCAGGCCCAGTCGGGAAGATGGGGGTTTCATTCTGGCTTCCAGGATGAGCTGAAATCTGTTGCTACATCGGGCAGCAAGGCTGAATGAGCTAAAAATGCAGCAAGGTTCCAGAAGATCTGAAAAGGCCTGGTGCCTTGGCTTTTGCAAAGTTGCTGATAAAGTAAGAGCATGGCTAGACAGAATGAGTCTCTCTGATGTTTCATTTTCAGCAGCAAATAAACCCCAGAGCAAGATCATTGGGGTGGCAGGGGATAAACAAGCTGAGCTGTCTTGTCCACTGTGGGCTGAGGCTCCTGAAGAGGGCAGAGCATTTGGGGCTCCTTCCCATCTCCTTGGAGGGGGCAGTCTTCTCTCTGTGCATCTCACCAAATAGTCCAGGGACATCAGGCTTCTAGAAGTCAGGGGCAGCACTGTGACTTTTGCTTTCCAGTCGGAACACATGCTCAAAAATGTGAGTGGACAGGACATGTGACTTAGGGTGGAGGCTTTAAGGACCCGTTACCCAGGTAGATGCCCTTGGCTGCCGTGTGTGTGATGGAAGCTCGTGTCAGGTGGGCGGCCCTCGGCCCAGGGCCCTGAGTGACTGTGAACGGAGCTGCACGGAGGCTGAGCAAGGATTGAACTTGTGTCAAATAGTCGAGATTGGGAGGTGGTTCTTTTTTGGCAGCTTAACCTAGTTTATTTAACTGGTGCCCCTGCTGTACTCTCCGAGTGACCTCAGGTGAGTCTGAGTGTCAGAACCAGGGACGTGGCGTCTCTCTGTGGCTAAGAGTAGGTTAACAATCCTCTCAGCCTTCCGCCTGCCTTGCTGCTCCCTCTGTGTGTGAACGTGTGCGCGATATTCAGCTTCTCTAAGCCTCAGTGTCCTTATCTGCGAAATGGGGGGGATATCAGCCACATCAGGGGGTTACTGTGATGGTGAAATGACACGGAGCCTGATAAGGGATGAGCGTGAGTGAAACTATTGATATTAAAAGCGACCTGGTTTTTCCACTGAGATCTTCCTGTGTGACTTGGAGGAGGGGCTCACGGGGCGTTGAGACAGAGCCAGGGAGAAGTGTCTGTGCTTTTCAGACCACAATTCACCTCTTGCTGAAGCTTTCTGGGGATCCAATTTGCCAGAAATCAGGGGAAGAGGGTGTTGAGCATCATCTACATCACTTTTAACTGGATGTCCCAAATATTTTGTCCCTAGCAGTCACTTGCAGGGGCCTGTCTGCTGTGGCCACTGGAACAATCTTCTCGAATGCTTCTTTTTTTGTTCTCCCTTTCTGAGCTCATGTTTGGGGTGCATGGGGGAAGTCAGCAGCCGTAGGTCTCGTTCCTGTGTCCAAGATGGAGATGGAGACAGAGGGGGCTGCTGATTCTGCACCAGGACCAGGTCACCCCACCATGCCTCCTCCTTGAGCCATGAGCGGTCAGGTCCCCCTCCATGTCCCCCTGCTCCTGCAGAGAAATCCACTCGGGCACAGGCGTAGAGGGGGAAATGCTAGAATCAGCATGGAGAGGAGAGCAGGGGACATCAGACACTTCTCTGAAATGTCACCTCCTAGTGAGCCTTTTCCCCTGACAACCCAGTTGAAAAGCTGTCCCCTTCTCCCTGTCACTGTCACATTGCCCTGCCAATTTCTTCTTCATGACACTTCGTGCTACCTCAGAGTGTCTTGATTATTGCATGTTTATTATCTGTTGCTCCCTCCACCTCCCCTGGCGGAGAAGCTCTAGAGAAAGGAGTGGGTCTGTTTTCTTCAGTTTTATCCCCAGTAGTGCCTGATAAAAGCAGGCTTGAAGAAAATGAGATTTTTTTGGAACAGGGGAGGAAGTGCCTGACAAAGGGAAAACTACTCAAATATATAATAATTGCTTTCAGGTGTGTAGTTCAGAAGGGCACTGCTCCCCCCCACCCGCCCCCTGTAAAAGTGACATTCTGGCAAAGACTTGAAGGTGATGGGACATGGGTGAAATTTGTTCCTGTCCAACCACACACTGATAAAGTCTAAAATCATTCAGTTTCCAATGGCGAGGTGTTCTCCTCATTAAGTTAAATAACCAAAATTAGTTGCACCGCAGTAAGAATAGAATAATCATTTGGTTTTTTTTTTTTTTTAAAAGAAAGATCTATTTATGTTTCAAATTATCTTGGTAAATTGGGGTCCCCTGGCAAATAGTCCCCGTTTTTTGGTCATCACATTGTCCCCTCAGTTAATTGAAGACTTTCAGAGAAAAGGAGGGAATGAGCCCTTCGTTGTTGAGTGCTCCTGCTTTCCGGCTGGGTTCAAATCCTGACTTAGCATTTTCCACCTATGCAAGTTCTATCGAGTTACTTAAATTCCCTGTGCCTCAGTTTCCTTATCTGGAAGTCAGAACGAGGCTCAGATGAGGTCAGCTGCTCGGCACAGTGCTGGACACAGCAAGCCAGCTCACATGCCGGCTCTCTGCGGTATGACACGGGAGTTGGACATAGGTGCTGGTGTCATATTTGCAACGTTGAAGTGTGGTGGCCTTTCGGCCAGCTGTGTTTCCCTAAAGGAGGGGTTGATTCCGTATGCTTGGGCAACCCAGCCTTTGAGTGCCTGGACTCTCTTAATAAAAATCAGGGTCAGACCTGCCTGGGCTGCCCTGTTAAGAAGGGGGTGGAGCTGGGGAGAGAGGTCCTGACAGTCGTGTCCTCTGGGGTCAGTCCTTCTGGCTGGTCTTTGGAAAGTTCGTCTTTAGGAAGAATAGTACCAGTGCAGGGACATGATCCCTTATCCAGTTCCAAATTCCCAGGGGTCTTGAAAGCCAAAATCTTTTAATAAATTACTTGGCAGCAAAACATGACCTGAAGGATGGGAAGCTACTGATGACTGTTATTGATGCTTATTATGCATTTCTTAGGGGAATAGTTATTTGTCCCCTCTCCCCTGAAATATATGCTTAACAGTAGGACGCTTCCCCAGCCCCCTCTGGGAGGGTGGTGTTCTGTATAGTAAAGCCTCCATGTTTCCTTTCTAAAATGCAAACGAGGGGGAAAAAAAAAAAACAACAATTGGGAAACACAGCGTATCCCAAAGGTTTGGATAAAGACTTTTGGGTCTTTCTATAAAAAGCCAGGCTTCCTCTGCCTGAACAGAGGCCTGCATCTCTCGGAGAAGGGTAGTTAGCATACTCATTATGGAAGGCTCTGTTTCTGCTCTGTGTGGACCCCTTCATCTTGTCAATGGAAATAAACTCTCCTGCTAGCAGTCAGATTAATGAGGATGCTGGGAAATAATAATGTGTTTGAATTGCCATATGATGAAGTTGGGAATTTTTTTTTTTCTAAATAGAGACTTAGATGCTACATATGAGACAGCCTAGGATCTGTCTCCCATCCATTCACCTAAACACCCACCTGTGTGGTCTTGCATCGAACAGGTACCATCTATGCCGTGTGGCACACCAGCTGCCAGTTAGTAAAATTCTGCTGCCTGGAGGCAGTTCACGTTGAGGTATTGAACCTCCCCAGTTTTTTTGCTATAAAATCCATTGAAGGGCGGGATTGGAGCTACTGCTGTCATTCTGCCTAATAGAAATGAAGCTTCTGGGATCTACAGGTCCCCAGGGATGGGTGTTTCCTTTTGGAAAAATGCACAGTGGCTGACAGGGCCCAGGGTTTTTGTTTCAGGTGCTTTAATAATAGGAGATGCTGGCTGCCTGTTGGTAGTGAGAGTGCACAGACCAGAGCAGGGAAGATTTGCTGTTTGCCCCTCGAGGTTGTTCTTTGGATTATTTATCTTTGCAACCAGATTTGGTTTGACCTTATGTGGCATTTTCCCCCTATCTGTTGGTAAAATTCTGTTCAGAATCTTAATTCCTTCCTAGACTCAAGTGTCAGTGGCATCGATAATCATAGCACTAGGTGCTCTTTAAGCTGGGAGGCTAATCTTCAATAGTAGAGTGAGGGGACACTCTCCTTCCTTGCTATCTAAATAGATGCTTTCTGGCACTTTCTAGGCAACTTAAACACACTGTCCCTCCTAAATCACCAAACCCGTATTTGCAAAAAAAATTCTTTTTGTCAATCCCGACAGCGGTGTGCTAGAGTGGGCTATACTAGCTCACAAAAATGGAATTTATGCATCTCTTCCTGACTCCAAGTTCAGTGCCAGCACGCCGGGAGGTCTGCAGTCAGCCACGGTGGGGGTATTTACACGGGTCAGCATTGCTACAAGTCATGGCTGGGTCCAACTTTCCCCTGGTTTCTGAAAGTAGACAGTTCCTATTTGGTAAGCTATTTTGGGGGGTCTGTGCATGCTATTGCTATTAATTTCTATGAAAATATGTTGAGCATTCCTAGGCCCCCAAAATAGCCTACTAACTCATACCAAATAAGATGGTTCTACTGTTCGAGAGCAGGGGAACTGTGCATTAGACGTTTACCTGTCTACCAGTGACTGCAAACTAAAATCACCATCAGGATCAAATGGTTCACTAGGAAACCAACCAACCAACCAACCAACCAACCACACTGAAAACCCAACAAATGCTCTGGTTTCCTGAGGGATTCTTTCCTGAACTGCATTTTTCTGTTGGGTCCGAACCGAGATTCTGGCTCGGCTTCTGCTCTTGTAGAATTCCTCCTGGAATTCTGCCCCATGTCACAGACCCACACAACTTCAGGGAACTGCTGTGACTTTTCACTGCCGGGGATGATACTGGGTCACGTTGTGGGTGTATTTCTCACACCCGCCGGAGGAAGTAAAGACAGTCCCTTTGCATCAGTTCCAGGCGAGTTCTGCATGATGTTCTTTCTTCAGCTTGGGAGAACAAGTGCCCAAGTGTGCCCACGTGCCCGCATTTGGGAGCCACCCCCTCCCCAAATGTTGCTGCCGGGATTTTGCTCGGGGAGATGAAATGCTATGAGAAGACTGCTGGCTCGGGGGCCTTTTTCTTAGAATCTAAGCAGTCAACTGTGAAAAAAAAAAATGAGATGTTGTTTTGACCCAGAAATTCCAGTTCTCAGAATCTGACCAACAGAAATATTTTTAGCTGGGCACAAAATGTACGTAAATGGATGTTCTGTACCCTCCTCTTTGAAGTGGCAAAAACCTGGAAAGAGCCTTCGTGCCCACCAGTACAGAGAGAGTTATCTAAAGGAGAGTCCATCCACCGATAGAAGACCCTGGGGGATTTTCATGAAGAGAAAGTGGAAACTGTTTTTAAAAGGAGGTGGAAATTTTGTGCATATGTAAGATGTCTGTGAGGCCTAGTGAAAGGGGGGCAGGAAACCCATCTAGAAAACCATATAGAGTATAACCTCATTTTTGTAAAAAACAAACAAACCTTCATATATGCATATTTTTTATAAGAAATCTCTGGAAGGAGAAAGGATAGGCCTCGGGGGTTTTTCTTCAGGGAGCTGAGTGGACTGGGGTAGGAATCAAGGCTTTCATGCTTTATACAGTCTGAATTTTTTGAAGATGTTTGATAAGAGTAAATTTATTTGAACATTACACTAGCAGCTTTGCTTTAGAGAAAAATACTGTGTGGTAACTGTTTTAAGGCTGTGGTTTTCACCAACTTCTGTGAGCCACACAGGTATTTGGGAAAAAACTGGAGTGCCTTGGTAGGGCTGGGAGTGTATTAGAGGGGCCCTAGTTCTGTCAGGAGCCCCAACCTCTTGCTTCATGTAGAAGCTCCATTTTGAAAGATCTGTTTTGTATCTAGGGTTTGCATTATTAAAGAAAAGAAATAATTTCTGCCAGTTAAAAAAATAAGTTTGTAGGCCACACGTCAAGACAAACTATGGTTTTAAATTTATGCCAATCCAAAATATGGAATCAGTAGGAATTCTTGGTCTACCAATTGATGCGTGATGTATATTTCTGGTTGCAATAGAGACTCAGGGGCCAGAGATGAATCAGGGCGAGGCTTGGGGAGCTGGGGAGTGAATGCTTTCAGGAGGAGGGAGTTCATTAGGATTCAGACTTGGCGAGAGAGAGAGAGAGAGAGAGAGAGAGAGAGAGAGAGAGAGAGAGAGAGAGAGAGAGAGAGAGAGAGAGAGAGAGAGAAAGAGAGAGAGAGAAAAGAGAGAAGAGAGAAAAAAGAGAATTCTCCCGGGAGGCAGGACTGTGAAAGGGTAGTTGGTGTCAGTCTTTTGGGGGTGTGTGGGTGTGGGGAGTTCCCACTTATGGGGGAAGGGGATATTTTATTGCATGCAGCCTGGGATGTTCACAGAACCAGAGCCAACCCCTTCCTCATGTGAGGGTTCTTTATCTTTTTGGCCCCATTCATGCAGACAGTAGGACGCTCCTTAAAGAAGCGATGCTTTCTCATGTCTGCTGGCCCCTTGTTTGCCCTGTGTCTGCAGCGTGCCTCCTGTGACAGTGACCCCAAGGCTTTCATATGAGCCCTCCCTTCCAGTGGGGACACTGCTAAAACTGTGGAGTAGACAACAAGTTCTGGAGCTTGGGCCTGGGCAAACCCAGCCGCTCCAGGAACCTCACACATGCACAGTCTGAGGGTCGAGAGGAATGCAGCTGTGGGTCCAGCCCTGCGCTGGTCCAGCCGGCTGATTCCTGTGGTGTAAATACTCCCGCCGTGGCTGATCGATTTCTAGCTTCTGAGGTGATGTCACTGACTGCGGAGCTGGGACAAGAGGCACACAGCTGGCTTTCACAAGTGTGGTGATGCCCTGGCTCCAGCTCACCCTTGTTTGAGTCACGCAGATTGCACAGAACTCCTAAAGTGACCCACCCACCCAAAACACCTCAGGAGGGAGGACACACAGAGGAGAGAAGCCCTCTCCCACCGCTCAGTCTTGCCGGTTAGGGTGGGTTGAAGGGCTGAGCCTTACTTTGGATTCCAGCAGGTGATCACCGGCTTCATGGTGTGGTGGGTGTGGTCGATAGTGAGCGCCTCCAGGAGCCAGTGGAGTGCACAGAGCTGGCGGAAGAGGGGTTCCCTGCAAGAGGGAGCACAGTGGGGTTCTGTCAAAACAATATTCTTCACAATTATGGCGACAGAGGTGGGGTTGTGTTGATTCTTAGTTGGGGGCTGCTGGCACATCCCAGGCATGTGTAGATATTTCCCCACATCAGCTCATTAACCCTTTGCCACAGACCCGTTTCACAGATGAGGAATCTGAGGCTCAGAGGATTTATGGAACTGGGGCCGGGGTCACTGGGCTAGTAGGTGGCAGGGCCATGCTTTGGGACATGAGCCATGGGAGATGACCCCGTGCGGGTTGCTGTGTAGTGGGGAGGGCTGAGGGAGGAGTCCCCCCACAGGGGTCCTGACACAGGCAAATGAAGGATAGAAAAAATTTCTATCCTCTAGGTAGCCAGTTGCTCACCTGATAAAAATACAATAAATGCACTGCGAGTGGCAAAGAAGCCTGCAAACACGCAGAAGCCTGTGTTTCATGGTGCTCCCCTCCCGCAGATTAACCGCTTTACTTTCCATGTGTAAGTTGTTTGGCTGAAGTTGCTGCCGGAGCTTGAAGAAAACATTGGCTATGTTTTTTGAACCAAAGCTACCTACTGTTTAGAAACTCTGTAGTGTCCCATGAGGGGAGGCCCATCTGTCTTATCGTGACCCAGGCATGGGCTTGATCACTCCCTCGACCCCCCGCCCACACTATTCAATTCTCTGGGCATCATGACCCGCATTTCAGAGAGGAGGGACCTGAGGTTCAGAGCTGTGCAGTCACTTTGCTCCAGGTCACACAGCTTACTGGTGGCAGAGGTGGGGTCTGAGATCTTTACTGCTGCTGACCACATGTACTGCTATGACATCTTTGCAGCTTAGAGACTGAGGCTCAGAGAAGTAAAGGGGCTCCATCAGGGGATTTGAATCCGAGTCTGTTTGGCTCAGGGGCTGTGCTCTCAGGGGCTGTGCTCAGGAGTGAGTGCTGATTGTCCGGGGGTGGACCAAGCCAGCCCAGTGGTGCCCTGAGAGTGAGGTCAGGAGGGGGTTAACCTGAGGCCTGTGTTCTTCCTGGAAACAGGTGGAGTCCTGACTAGCACCCAACCCCCCCATGATTTCTCCTTTTACACTAATGGGCGTGAGACCTCCATTACCAGTGCTCTTCCCTGAAGTTGCGTCCAGCCTTGATCGATGCTCCCCAGGGTTCCTGGGCCTGAAGCGCACAGAGGCCGGGAGGCCCCCACTCTCTGTTTCCAGGAAGACACCGCCTCAGCAGGTGGGGCCCAGGCCCTGGGGACATGTCTGGAGCTGCCCCAGGGTTATTGGGCATCCTTGGGAGGCACCCGTTTCTCTCAGCTTGAGGGAGAGCTGCCCACCTCACCCCATTCTCTGCCCTCCACCCTACCCCCGCGAACTAGGGTGGTTGTGTTCACAGGTTTTAGGAAAACTAATCAGTGACTCTCTTTGCTTCCCAGGAGCCTCTTCCTCCCGCTTTTTTTCCTTCCACAAAGTGTTTACACTATGTGCCTACTCGTTCTTCACTTCTAATTGAAAAGCCCTATAAGCCCACAGCCCTGCCCGTTCTTGTCTTTGTCCCCTAGAAGCCTTCTTTGGCAGCTTTGGGCCCTGGGCACTGTCCAGCATTTCAGCAGCAGCAGTGGCTGTCCCTGGGCTGTGACACCTTGAAGCCCACTGCTGTAACCCCAGGGAGCTGGGAAAGGCCCGGGAGATGCCCCCCTTCTGGTGACAACTTAGAGCCCCTGCATGTGGACAAGCCCAGGCTGACCTGCCAGCTGATGAGAGCTCTGAGGGCCAGACACTCCTGATGCTCTAACCAACCAGTCAGCCAGCAGACCTGTGAATGAGACCATCCTAAATGGGCCAGCAGACCTGTGAATGAGACCATCCTAGATGGGCCAGCAGACCTGTGAATGAGACCATCCTAGATGGGCCAGCCTCAGACTCACCCATCAGCTGGGGGCACACCCATAAACAGCCCAGACAGGAGTCAGAAGGTCAGGATAGTGTTGTTGGTAGTGGCAACTTCTACCCTTGTACCCTTGAACTAAGTGTTCTTATTAATGACCTTTTCCCCTACCATCTCAACCTATGATTTTGCTTTTGCATTATTTTAACTCTTCAAGTACACAAGACTTAACTCTCCAAGTGTATATCATGAGGGCTATGAAGACAAGGCCTTGGGATACATTTCTTGGGTGGTGTGTGAATGGTAAGAGTTGAGACTCTGACATCAGACAGGCCAGGCTGGATTTAAAAAACTCCAGTGCAGCAACACCTGAGCTGTGTGACCTGGACAGGTGCATATACCTCTCAGAGCTGCTGATTGCTCATCTGCAGGGAGGGGCTAACAGTGCACCTGTACGGCAGGGTGTGGGGAGGGCTGAGTGAGGAGGATGTAGCACTGTTTAGTTTATTCCTGTGTACACAATTGGGGTCTAATAAATATTTGACAAGTGAGCAGACAGAGGAGTCTAGAATCCATACGCCATTTTGATTGCACTAAAGCAGTGGTTCTCAACATGGGGGGCGAAATAGAGAGCTGGTACAGTTTTGCCCCCAGGGGCCATTTAGCTGTGTTTGGAAACACTGTCACTTTGCAGGGGAGGTGCTCCACTGGCATCTAGTGGGTGGAGGTCGGAGCTGCCGCTCAGCACGTGCCTGGACAGCCCTTCCCATCCAGCAGGGGTTAGTTTCAAAATGTCCGTAGGGCCTAGGGCCAAGTCAAGAGCTTTTACCACTGCATCTGAAATTCTCCAAATGTGAAGTGCTAACTAGTGAAAAAGAATAGACATTGGACTTGAAATACATTGGAAATATACACAAGGGGAACAAGATTTTAGAAAGCGAGAGTGTGCTTTGGAGGGGGGATTAGCTCCCCTTAAACCAGGCAATCGTGGGTTCGTGCCTCGGGTCGGGGGTGACAGGGCTTCTCTGGGAAATAGCTCTCGGGTCCTGGGGAACTCGTGTCCCTTGAGCCCTGGCTAAGACATCCTGGCACACGCTCGGCCAGGGCTGTAGACAGACTGTATCATGCTGCAGGGGGCCTTGTTGCCCCAGCCGGATAAGACACTGGCAAGCAGCGAAGCTAAAGGGCTTCACACCGTGGGGCTGAAGCTAAAGCGCCTCACACCGTGGGGCTGAAGATCTAACATTCCTTCATTTTTTGTTCTTGGTCATAAAGAGAGACAAATTTATCAGAAAGTACATTTAGGCAGTAAATTATATGCATCAGTATACTACAAATAAATGGCATGGAAAATCATCTGTTTAGAAAATTAGTTATTAAACAATTTGGCCCACTTGACAATGGGAGATGATTTATTGTACATATCTGACAAGCAACCCAGCACTACTATTATAGTACATCCTTCTTTTGCTTTTTTAGAAGTTCCTTTTTATTTAGAAGTTTCTTAGGCAAGTTTTTAAATGAAGTTATTTGTGTTGAGGAGTTTCTAGGTAGAAAAAGTTCTGATAGCTGAGCAGCAGCTGGTCTCTGTTGAAGGCCATGCGAATAAGAAAAGTCTTTTGATGCTGAGGCTTTAGCTGATAGGGATGCACTGGCGGCTATCCACTGTCCTAGGTAATTGTCTCGCTGAAATAATAAGTTAGTGTTAGGTTTGGTTTTTTATCTATTAACCTTGAAGGCTACCGTCTAGCTGAGACCCGTAGAAGCCAGTAGTCCGTGGGAATAAAATACACTAATTGTTTCTGCTTTGCACATGATGATGTAATTTTTTCTGCTTACTAGAAATGAATAAATAAAGACCTGCTGGGTCTCTCGGCAGAAGATCCTTGCACCCCATCCTGGGTCAGTGTCTCCTCACTACCTCATCCCCTTCCCCTTAGCCCTTAAGTTTCAGCCCCTAACGTGTGGCCTAGGCCGTCTCATCCATTCAGGAACCCCTGACACGACATTTTGCCGAGGCTGGTCCCCGGCAGTATCAGGCTTTGTAAACTATTTGACGTTACAGTCTGGCTGGGTGAGCAGTGGAAGGACTCGGTCCCAGCTGATTTGCCTTTTAGCTCTGATTCAAGGGGTCTGCCTTCCGGTATTTTTATACCCCAAATTGTGGTGTAGGCTCTAGGCTTCATGTCCGTTTTAAGAGGACAGAGGAACAATTCAACAGCTCCTGAGGAGTTAGCCCAACGAGTCATTTTGCCTTTGGCTTTGATTTATTAGTTCACAAGGCAGACAAGCCAGCGGTGAGACTACTTACACGTGGGCCTCAGGTAGCAGGGGCGAAATGATGCAGCTGTGGATGGGGGTGAACGGGAGGAAGATGTTTCCCTTCTTCATCTTGTCATCGCCGTATGTGCTGAAGGAAAAGCAGAGAGAAAGAAACTGAGTGAACAATTGCAGCAGCTTAAACACCTGCTCTCGAAGGGCTGAGTTTTGAGGGGCGGGCAAATATGCATGGCTCCGGGGAACACAGGGTCTATGTCAAAACTACTTAGTGACATGAACACGTTGGAGGTATGTGCACGGCATGCAAATGGCAGTGTGCCAATAAAGCTTTATTTACTGGGGCTAGATTTGCCCCCAGGTGGGAGTCTGCTGAGCCTCTGCCCCAGCCATCCCAGAGAGTGCACATATTTTGGGGTGCACAGCCATGCCCTGTATACCAAGGTTTTGGTCAATGACAGGCTGCGTAGAGGATGATGGTCCCTATATAGAGCCTCAGCGTGTGGAAGGCGGTACCAGCTGGGTTTGCACAGTTATACTTTAAGCTGTTGACATCATGAAATTACCCAAAGTCATGTTTCTTTGCAGAGAGGGAGATTTGGGAGGAGTGGGGGTTGTAGTTTCAAGACTGGTGTTTGGGGAAAGTGTCAGTGGGAAGGTGACCTTTGATAAAAATCTGGAGTATAAGAATATGGGCCATTCAGATGTCTGGGGCCAGAGAATTCAGGAGCAGCATGTGCAGAGATTCTGGGGTGGGCTGTGATTTCAAGACAAGGAGACTGATGTGGCAGCAGTGGAATGAGCAACAGAGTAAGGAGGTAGAGAGAGAACATGGGCCTAGGAGATCCACTGCAAGACTTTGGCCTTTTCTCTGAATGAGGGGATTTTGAGCTGAGAGAAGGCACCATCTGACTGACATCTGAAAAGGATCCCTCTGGCAGCCGCTGTGAGAACCTAGGACTGTTGGTCAACCAGGAGAGCGACTAGGAGTATCGCAATGATTCTAAGTTCAGAGAGGAAGGTGGATTCGGCCAAGGTCCTGGCCCTGAGGACATGAGATGGGCACAGCTGAGGGGCTGCCTGGAGTTAGTGTCTCCAGCTTCTGGTCTTTTCCTTGAGGAGGCGTCCTCCAGTTCTATAGATTGCTGACTGGTATGTTTGTAAATCATCAACTCACCAGCCATGAGGTGTGGGCACCTGGAACTTCAGAAGACTCTCGGGGGTGCCCCCAAAAAAGATCAACCACAACCAGCTAAACCTCAGTAGCCCCCAGGCAGGTCACCATGAAGAACCAGAGGCCCATCCTCTGCGCCACAGGAAATAAGGGCTCTTCCTCTAAAAGCAGACATCACAGGGAAGTAGGAGGGAGGGCATTTGCACAGAGAGAGGGAGAAACAGCCCAAACAGGCAGTTCATCTCTGAAACCATGGATATTTACCCCAAAAATAAAAAAATATGAAAAAAACCCAACTTTCGAAGTGGAAAAGATTAAATTACATCTAATACAATATAATAATATTTAAGATTTTCTCTGTCATCATAGAGCAAGTGGTTTCAGTTAGAGAAGGTTGTTTTTGTTTGGTTTTTAGCAAACCTGAGTCAGTGGGCATGTATTTTTTGTTCATGACCAAATCTAGCCCATAGAAACGTTTTAATTAGTTCTCTCTCTCTCTCTCTCTCTCTCTCTCTCTCTCTGTGTGTGTGTGATTGAATCAGTTGCTTATATATTTTGAAATTTATGTTGGGCACAATGAAATACTATGTTGAAATCTGAACGTCTAATGGGAATGAACTAGACAAAGAGTGAAGGGGGATCAGGAGTGGAAAATGCAAGGTGGGGGCCTCCCAGGTGGGCCTAGGGGTTAAGTCTTAGTGCTGTCACCACTACAGTCTGAGTTTGATCCCCAGCCAGGGAGGTGACGCCCATGGCTCAGCAGACCTCTCCTGTCTCGCCTGCTGCTCCCCTCAGCAGTGTATTTCACATGCAATGAAATCTGAGGCTCCGGCCACTGTAGACCTGTGTCTGGCTGGCAAGAGACCAGTGGGGTCCAAGATTGGGGACCCAGATTGAGGTGGCCGCCTACTCTGCGTGAGGTGTGTTCCGGAGACTTAACCATTCCGTCGTCCCCCTGCAGCCCGCCTTACTAATTCATGATACTGTGTAGTCCCTAAAGGCCTTTTAATTTCTGAGCTCCAATTTAAATACCTTCACTGGTTTAATCGCTGGTGGGTTGGTTCCCCGATCCGCTCATTTACTGCACATCTGTGTACTGGGAGCAGCAGATACAGCCACCAATAAGGCAGACAGGGCACAGCCCCTCTCCGCCGGTGCTCCAGGTCTAGAAGCCACATATAGCCGGGCCTACAGTTGTGATAAGACTGAGTGTGAGGGTATCTAGTGCTTTGACAGCCCCAGTAGGGACGTTTGGCTGATTGGAGTTGGGGGTAATTTCCTGGAGGAAGTTGGGCAAATTAGAAACTTCTGTCCAAAGTTCTTTGATGCTCTTCCAATGAGGAGAGGTGGGTCCTTGACTCCTTCTCCTGGAATCTAGGCTTTGTGAGTGTTCGAGCTGGATAGAATGTGCCAGAAGTGGTGTGATGCTAATTTCTAGGCCCCAGGCCCCAGGAGCCTGCGGCTTTTATTTTAGTTATGTCTTGGGAAGTTTAGCTCTCTCAGCACCTGGCCACCGCCATGTTGGGAGGAAGCAGACAGCCTATGACGGGACTCAGAGGGAGAGGAACCAAGGTCTCTGGACCTCCACCCTGGCTGAGCTCCTAAGTGACAGCTGACCCCAACTTGCCACCCACAGGCTTGAGCATCCTGGAAAAGGATCCTTCTAGCTGCCCTGGTGAGTGCTGGCTGGAGCAAGATCCATTTTCTGCCCCACTGAGCCCAACTCAGATTGCTGATTTGTGAGTGAAACAAGTGTTTGCTGTCCTAATGAGTTTTGGCATGCTTGTTCACAACAATAGTAACTGGAACAAAATGAAATATTATCTTGAAATCTGACCTTCTAATGGGAATGAACTAGACAAAGAGTGAAGGGGGATCAGGAGTGGAAAATACAAGGTGGGGGCCTCCCAGGTGGGCCTGGGGGTTAAGTCTTAGTGCTGTCACCACTAAGGTTTGAGATCGATCCTCAGCCAGGGAGGTGACGCACATGGCACAGCAGACCTCTCCTGTCTCGCCTGCTGCTCCCCTCAACAGTGTATTTCAGTGGATCTGCCTTTTTGCTCCCTACTCTGTCTCTGGTGAATCCTCTCACCCCCACATCTCTGGCCTACACCCCAGTTCTTCTATGCAAACCCCTCCCAACCTTAAAAAAATAAGAAAATGCAAAGGGGGCTGGGGCAAAGGGAGCCAGAAGGGGCTACAGGCCAAGGGCTTGCCTACCCTCAACCTGTGGTGCCTGCTCAGGCTTTTGTCTTGCATGAGCTGGGGCAGAGGACAGGAAGCTGGGACCACATTAGGATTTTACCTTCCACCTGGGACTTGAGGGCCAAATATGGAGTCACAGAGTTAACTACAAAATTAGACTCACATTTAGGCCCCCGATTTCCACTTCCGTGGACTCTTTATTCAACCCTGAGCTGAAGGAACCCCCCAGCAAACATGTTGGCTGGCTAAGTTTCCCTGGATCACCCGCATCCCCCCATGGTTTAGAATACGTGGGGAATAACTCAGCCTTTACACTGTTTCATCTCTAGTTTTCTGTCTTCTCTCAATTATGATAATAAGACAAATTCTTCTTTTGTTTTTTCTCTACCTTCTCAGCTGAATTTGTGGCTGTAAAACGAGGCAACTGAACACAGCGGGGACGCTGCTGGCAGGCAGGGATCTTTTGGGGCCTGCTTTCCTTTTGTGAAAATTTTGCAGTTTATCAGACTTAAAAACTTTGGTCTAAAAGAGCGTCTCCTATTACGGTCTTAGATCCATAGGATATGATCCCTTTTGCTTTTATAATGCAATACTTCATTAAAAAAAGAATTTGCTAAAGAACACCTGAATTTTGGATTCTTCAGTGATTAGAATTAAAGTCATAGAAGCATAGCTGTTAGATGTGAGATGCCTGCCTGGAAATTAAGATTTTTTTAGCCATCAATCTCAGGATTTTAGGTAACGGAAGCCCAGGGAGATCATATGCACTTGATTGCTTAAAAATTGCTGACAATAACCAAGGACATACGCCTCAGGTGCCAGCCTCTGTGTGCTAAGCGTTATTTCATTTAACCCTCGTTATGAACTGGTATCATTCATGTGGGTGAAGAAAGCGAGATTCAGAGAGGGCTAGCGACTTGTCAGGACCTCAGCATAGCTCTTAACCTCTGCTCTGTATTGAAAGGTCGGGACAATCTCCTGATGCTATTTTGTAACTCCAACCACCCCACCTGCATTTGAAGGCCCCATCTGGTAATGGCCTCCAGTTTTATTTTAATAACCAGCCTTGTACAGCTCATAAAATCCACCAGTTAAGACGTAGCCAGGCCAACACTGATGGGAGGAGCCACATCATACATATTTAAACTTATTAAACTTTAAATAAACCATGTCTCGCTCACTGAAACATGAATTGGAGAGGGAAGAACTGTGGTCTATGACTGTGGATTAACAACCCCATTCAAACACGGAACCGTTAACATCCAAACTATTTAAACAGCCTCCGGGGGATCTTTAATGGTTCCCCCCCCCAACCCCCCTTACAGCCCCTGTTTTGTTTGCCTGGTAATCTGAGCACAACTCCTGCAAAAGCAAGAGCCATGAGTGAGTTTGTTCCTTCTCTTTATTCCAGGGAGCGGGTGTCAGGGGGCTAGAGTCACCAGGAACCCCAGACTCCGTGAGCACCACTGGCTCAGGGAAGGTAGAATAGGGGCTGAGGTCTTGGGGGTCCTCATGGAAAGAGGAGGAAATTTGTACTTCCCTGGTGGCTTAGGGGTTAAGTCTCAGCATTATTACCTCTGAGGCCTGAGTTCGATCCCCGGCTAGGGAGCTGACCCACATGGCGCAGCAGACCTCTCCTCTCTCACCCACTGCTCCCCTCAGCAGTGTACTTCAGTCGGTCTGCCTGTTCTGCTCCCCTCTATGTCTCTGGTGAATCCTCTCACTCCCTGCACTTCTGGCCTGTACCCCAGTTCTTCTATGCAAAAATTAAAAAAAGAAGAAGAAGAAAGTCCCTGGTCTGTGAGTGACCTCTGCATCAGGGTCTTAGAATTCTTTCCAGGTTCCCCGTCCTCCCCCTAAACGAGAGAATGAGTGGTGTGAAATAATAGAAAAAATAGGTATATATACATATGTATTCCTATAGATGGCATTTGAACTGATGGTTGTGCTCCTTTGAAGCTCCTGAGGCTGGCCTTTGAGTGGTTGGATGGAAGGGACTCAAGTCTAGACTGGCTTGCATCCTTTTTCCATTCTGAAAATAATGATTCTGGCTTTTGGCAAAAGGTAACTCCACTGTCCCCTCCTCTCTCAGCCCTGGCCCACCCGGCTAAGCGGCCATGCTGGCTGCGGGAATTCCCTGCGCGTATCTGTGGGTTTCTAGTCAGGCCGATTTTTGTCACCTGAACTTCCATTCAGGAGTAAAGATTATGTTGAAAAGTCGTGTCTCTTGGGATTCTTTCCAGGTTTCTCCTTCACCCCCTAAACTTGAGGGAATAGGCGTGTAAAATAATAGAAAAAAATATATACGTATATAGGGGCACCTAACACAAAACAGACTGTTTAGGGTGTGGTTCGGTGGCATTTGAATTGATGGTTGTGCAACCATCACCCCAATCTAGTTCCAAAAAATTTTCATTCCCCACCCCCTAAGAGACCTGGTCCCCACTGAGCAGTCACGCCCAGTCCCTGCCCCCTCTGCTGTCTCTCTCCCGTGGGAACCTTGGCTGCTACTGATACCTCCACTTACATCAGAAGATTATCCCTGTATTGGATTTCCGAGAGCATTTTGGCTGGTTGGAATTTATGCCTTTCTTCTTCTTGCAGCTTCCGAAGTTGCTGTTGTCGTTTTTTCCGGGCAGTCTCCTCCCTCAGCATGGTGAAATACCCGCGGCCTATCTTCACCGATTGAATCATGATGCTAAGGGTTGGGGGGTGGGGGGGTGGGCAGAGGAGAGAGAGAAGAGAGTTGACTATTAGGTCTTACCCTGTTGTCTTGGAACTGCTAACCCCATTGTCATGTCTGATAATCATTCTTCTCCCAATGGATTGGAGCCTGCTGCCTTTAGAACTCCAGAGTTGACAGAACTGAGCTTGAATTCTGAATCCATTTCTTACTAAAGACCATGAACGAATTATGTCATCTCTCTAGGTCTCATTTTTTTTATCACTCCATTGTTCAACAAATATGTGTAGAGCGACTACTGTGTGCCAGGCACTCACTGGGGGCACCAGAAGGTACCTTAGACCTGTGGCGAGTTTTGGGGCCTCAGTGGCCCTGCTTTGGGCCAACCCTGTTTGGCTGGATGTATTGTATCTATTCTTTCCCTGCTCTTCCCTTTATTGCACACTAATTGTATCAAAGTTATTTTCTATTGAAGGTCTTACACATTAGAGTATGTTTTGTCTTGAGGCAGCAGAACCTATTTAGAACAGGCAGGTTTGGGGGTCCTGGGGTATCCCTCCTTCTGCCTGATAACAATTAAAGACCTAATTAAGATGATGTCACATTGGAGTAGGGTTGCTTCCCCACCCAGTCCAATATGATGGACGTCCATATAAAAAAAGGGGAATTTGGACATACATGTGCTTGCAGAGAGGATGGCCTGTGAAGGTGCAGGCAGAGATCGGGTTATGCTTTTACTGGCCAAGAAATGCCAGGGAGTGCCACAAACTGCCAGGAGCCGGGTGGGAAGCCAGAACAGAGCCTTCCTCCCCTCTTAAAAGGAACCCTCCCTCCTGACACCTTGATCTTGGACTTACAGCCTCCAGCTCATGAGCTGATAATGGTCTGTTGTTGAAGTCCCTGAGTTTGTGGTGCTTCGTTATGACAGCTGAGCAGACTCATCCAGTGTGGTCAGATACCCATGACTACGCTCATGGAACAGCCTGCCTCTATCGTCTTTGACTGTGAGGCCCACAACATCCTTATGAAATTAATTTTGTAGTGACAGGCGGATGGTCTGCGCCGCAGTTAATAAAAGGGGCTTGAATACTGTGTACCAGGCTCTGGGCTGGACACTTATTATGTGTCCGATTCTGTATCAGGTGCTTTATTATGTGTCAAGTCTTGTTCAAGGTACTGGCAGTACAAAGGTGAACGCCTCTTACAAAGAGTTCACTGTTTTTGCCTCTGCCTCTTGCTTGTTTTGTTGTAGCAATTAAGAGGCTGGCAAGAGATTTGTTTGACTGTTTATGCCCTTATTTTAAAAATGATTAGAGGCAGAACATTAAAACAGTGAGAAAGGCAGGAGACAGGAAGAATAAGACTGACAAAATCAGTTAAGGCAAGTCTCAAAACCCATGCTGCAGTGATCTCGTGCACAAACGTGACCAGAGCATCTTTGTGGCCAGTGCAGAAAGGGAAACAATGACCATAATATTTAAACAAACACGGGCCTTTTGAGCGATGCCCAGCTGTTTCTGGTGCTGAAACTAGGAAGAGACTTCTTTCAAGAACCTATACGGGGAGGCCACCGTGAAAAGCCACGTCAGTAGTAAACCTCCAGATGCAAAAGGTGATGGATGTTTTTGTCTGTTCACATATGGGAAGGGCTAGCGAGCTGGTGTTGGCCAATTTTAACAAGCAAGCAAGTTCTCTGTTGGAATTGCAGCCCCCTTTCAACCAAGCAGTCAGCCCAGCTGCTCAGTCTTCTGGAAAGACCCGGGTGAGAGATGAACAGAGCTGTGGGGGAGGGTCTGGGCCCCCCTGTCAGACACTCCAGTCTATTCTGGGAGCTGTGAAGTGCTCCCCTGGTACCACGGAGACCCATTTAAACATGCTTAATATTTTAGCCAATTCCCATTTAATTCCCTGTATGTTCCCTACATTTTCTTCATCATTATTGCTGATTACCAGGCTATTTGTGTGAAGGGAGCTATTTGCAGGGAAGAGCAGTTTTTGCCTTTAAATCCACTCACCCGGGGGCCTCCTGCTCACTGCTTTCCACAGTGTAAAATTCCCCTGGCTCACATCGCGAGGGAACAACGAGGAGCAGAATAATTAACTGCGTCAGGCAAGTGAAGGAAGAAGCAGGTTATAAAATGGAAAGTTTCCTCTACTCAAGGCAACTTCCTCTTACCCGATGCGTGGGGGCGGGTTTTTATGTTTAAGGGACATATGTTCTCTGTTTGGGAGTCTGTATGTCAGCTGACGAAAGAATGCTCACTTCAGAGACAGGAATACTCTCAGTCGGGCTTAGGTGGGACAGACCGAAAGCACAGGTGTGAAGCAGCTTAGCTTCCACTCCCAAACACCTTTGGACTTGATGGTCAGGAAATACAGTGGTGAGGCTGGCAGGGGTCAGCCTCTGGATGGGATCCACTTTCTTAGGCAGGCTCGAAATCTCTCAGAACCAGAGCCTCTTCCTCTTCAAATGGGGTTGAAGAAGAGTGTAGAATATACCACCCCCCAAACATGTGTTTCTGGCATTTGGATTATATTGGGTTATTTTTGAGACTGCAGACAGAAGAGCAGCTCTGAAAAATCTAGTAGAAGTGGCTGTTTTGCAAGGGAGCACTTATGTTTATAAGGGAAATTTCCATTTGAAAGTGAAGGGTGGGGCCCCCCAACATGTTCAGATTGGCCTTTCCAAGATAAGTCACTTTGAAGTGGGTTATTTTGAGCCAAAGTCAGTTGAAACCCTTGCAGACTCACAAAACATTTTTACCATTCCCTTAACTACCAAAAGAAATGAAAATTTCGGATCATACCCCGAATTAGAGTTACTACCAGAAATAACCTTTCTAGCTGAAAAACATATGGAGGAAATAATTACAGATCTTCTGCTCCTAACTACATGCGTCTTAGTCATTCTCTTTGAAGTCCCCAGCCCCTACCCCATTTTTTAGTTCAAGGATATATACCCCGGTTTTGCCTCAGAGTCTTTGGAATTCTCACTTCTATGTAGATTCCGTGTATGTGCGGAATTAACTTACTTTTTCTCTCCTCTGTTCTGTCTGTTAATTAGACTACTTGATCAATCTGAGAAGAACCCAGAAGGGTACAGGGTAGTTTCTTCTCCTGCTTGGCAGGCTGAAGGAATATTGGCAGATAGGACTTGAATGGAAATTTGGAAGAAGCTTGCTCTGTGGGGTCCAGGACAAGAGCAAACTACCATCTTGCTGAACTGAGAAGTGTGAGAAAGGCTTGAAATAGACTTGAGTCTGGCTAATCTCAACCTAGGTTAAGCAGCCCAAAGTTGAACCTACAGACAATGAGTAAGGAAGAAATATTTATGGAAAGTCACTGAGTTTGTTACACAGGGTTATGATGAAAATAGCTGACCGGTATCTCATCCATTGTAAGTTGCACCATTATTTTATGAGCCACAAAGAGGGGAAGAGCCATGGCAACTAAGGTAAGAGATGATTATATTCTGCACCCCCAGTTCAGAGATGTTAAAATGTGAAGAAAAGAATTTTTTCTCTGAGATCAGATAAAACATAATGTTAAGAATGAAATTGCCTCAACCCTGAGAAAAGGTGGTTTGGAACAAGATCTGGAAATTAATAGCCCCTTCTGAGAAGTAGCTAGCATATCTGATAAAATATTTGAGCAACTCTCTGATGAGAAGAAAAGTCCTTTCTGGGGTGCTAGATTTACCCACACAGCTGGCCAGCAGACTTGGAAACAAGGCTAATAGCCTTTAACCAGCCAATGCTCCCTACCTTCTTGCTATTCAAAGTGTGGTCCCTGACCCAGCAGCATCAGTATCATCTGGGAGTGTGTTAGGAATGCACAGTCTCGGGTGCCCTTCCAGACCTCTCCAATGAGAATATGGATTTTAACGGGATTCCCTGGGTGATATTCACATATACATTGAAGTCTGAGAGGCAGAGGTCTGCTGCCTTTTCCGCCTATTAAAAACAAAACCAAAAAAGCTCTCTCCAGAAAGAAATCTTCCAACTGGCTTTATTAGAAGCCTGATTCCCTTGTCTCAAGTTTGAAATAAAACTTTGACACATACCAGCAATCAGTTCATCTCAGAAGGCTCTTTAAACCTATTTGTTGTAGACATGCTTACCCTTGGAGGGCACTCTGTTTGCACTACGTCTCCCATTATCCAAATCAGCCTCCATCCCCAGGGCCCCCAAGGAAACTAGGACTGAAGGCATCTAACACAGACAGTCCCAGCTGTCTGCACAGGAGCCCTGCAAGCAGCTGGGAAGTCTTGGGAGATGCTGAAGGGAACTCAAGCTCAACCCTTCCATTATGGGGGACACGGGATTCACCACTGCAAATCACTTTGTTAAAAACTAACAGCCCAGATGTACTTAACAACAACAACAAAATCTTTTAATGTTCTTATGGCTCTGCATCCAGCTGGTTTTCACTCACATTTTCCGTCTCCTCTGCCTGCAAGAAATATGGGGCTATAAAGCCAGGGGTGCTTGGATGGGAAAGCAGAATGACATTAAGATGAACAAACACTCCTTGCAATCCGATGTCCTGTTCTTGCAGAAGGAAATTGCCTACACGGGAAATTTTCACTTAACAAATTTTACTGTTTTCAAATAATAGCAAATAAATCAGCTTCTTCCCAGATGTGAAGGCTGGGAGAGCCCACTTCATCTGGCTTGCTCACACTTTGCTCTGTCAGCCCACCCAGACATATTGATTTCAGAGGAGGAGAGGGCAAACGTGATGGAATGAAGGGATCTGAAACACCATCCTTAAATTCTTGATTTTTTTCAGTCAACCTACACAGGCAAATTAATAACGCAGCCCCCGTTCAAACGCACAGAGCAAAAATATTTTGCATTTAAATTCCTGCATTAGAATGCCCTGTTTATACAATAACTTAATAAATCTAGCCTGGCTCCCGAATTGACAAGAAGGTGAGAATCATTCATTAAAATGCAAATGCAATTGAGATGAAATTTGGAATACATTTATTACAGTAATTGAACTTCAGTCAA